TACAGAGTTTTTCAATTGAGAATGTTATAATAAAAATTGATTTTTTGATATTGTTTTAATGAATCACATTAATAAAGTAAAAGAGAGCAAACCCAAATCATGAGAAATAACGATTCTCTTTTCTCTTTTCTTTATGTAATATGGATATCCCATATCAAAGAGATATTTATGTTTGACTAATTCTTAAGGGATCTGTACAACCCTTAAAAATATAATATTAGTAAATACTTCAAAATATTAAAATGAACTTTTTAATTTTCATTTTCCAAACATGTGACTGTTCCATCATATTCCAAAAGAGTTATTTCATTATCATGATAATCTAGAGCTACAATTTATTGTTTAGTTATTTTGATGACTTTTGATTACTTATCTAGTGGATTATAGATTTTAACAATCTTATGATTTTCTACAAACAAGATTCCATTTTATGTAAATCTGCCATGTGATATATATTCAATCTTTGGATCAATATCTAATAAGATGTTCACTTAAGGTTAATTATTCAAATATAAAATTGACAATTTCTTTTTTGCTTCCTTCAAATATTCTAACATTAATAATTGATCTCCTTTGAAATCAAATGGAACTTATAGTAATGGCATATCAACATAAAATGTATTATTCTCTTAAGTTTAAAGATCAAATAGATATAAACTATTCTTTTTAGTTGATATGTCTACTCCAATGTCTTTATTCTATGTTGGTGCTACTGATAACAACAATGCTTTCGTTTTATAACATAAAGATAATGTAGAACTACAAAGTGGTGGTGAATGGGTTCTTTCAAATTTCCATTAATGACTTCCCCTCATTTAATAATCAAATATGTAACCATAGACATCTCCCACTACTATATATACTCTATCCTATTATTCAATAGCTTTCATTTAAATAATTATATACTCACTCCTCTAATGATCTCTTCTAATACATCTGGAATGTATCTCAATTCATTTTAATTGTATAGGTATTATCCAATATACCCACTTATAGATCCGAAAATTATCATATTACTATCTACATCAAAAGCAGTAATAGGTTCACCAATTCTTATTTTAATCCACTTATCAAATTTTATTTATAACATTTACTAAGTTTATTAATTAGATGTATGTTTTCATTTAAATAAACCATAAAACTCTTTAAACATAAATATGAACATATATATCTACACACAACTTTACTATTACTATTCACAAATCAATTTTTATCAATTTACAGAATTATTTAGATATTTCTCACTAAAATTATTCTTAAATTAAAAAAAAATGTAAGTATTATTAATAACTAAAGAATATTGATGATTTTTATTTACAAAATCATTAACTTTTTTTTATTTTACATCAATGTTTCCTCTTAAGATAACTAATCATAATTTTAACTTATTGAAATGCAATAACTCTATTTTATAGAAAATGAAAGTTACTCTTTAGATTAATCCACATTGCATATTCCTTTTTATGATGAACTAGATTTATATAGAAAACTAGAAAATTTATCCTTTGTGAAGTTAATTGAAAAATAACAGGAACTTCATTTAGGTTTATAAGATAATACCACTTTATTAACATTACTAAGAGATTAAGGAAAATATATAGATATTTGTGCCTTATAAAACCAAATAATTGATTGTAAAATTAGAATAAATAATACATTATATAATGATGACATCATTATAAATGAATTATCCTATGATCCAATCCATCTACCTTCTAAATCATGTCATAATGTTTTTGTTATTGAAGATGATTCATTCCTTATTCATTGTCAAAGTTCTATCAATATATTTTAGTATTTTATTTTAAACAATAAAAGTTTAATTTTAGATGAAATCTTATTAGATTTACCCCATAATTGCAAATTTGATTCAAAATTTCAATTTAATTATATCTTTATTCATTCTATAAATTGTGAAATATCAACAATTTTATTTATTGAAATTATCAGTAAAAATTAGAAACCATATTTTAATCATAATTATACAAAATTGCATGAATTAAATAATTATCCAAAATTACACAATCTAATTGATCTAAAAATTTGTGATTCCACATAAATACTTTTACTTTTTGATATTCTCATGTATATTTTTTACATAGACGATTAACAATTTATCTCTTACAATTATTAATATAAATCATGGTTTATTTACTCTGAAACATCTTGCTTTCCTTATATTGTGAAAGGATCAATTTAAATATCCATTAATACAAATTATTACAGTCTTAATGTAGATAATATGATAAATAAAGAATCATAATTAAAAAAAATTTTAAATTTTAACAATATTTTTATTTTTTTATATGAAGATTACACTGAAATAATTTATGGCAATCTTTTTAAATAATCTATCTTTAATGTTAAATAAATTAACCCTTTAAATACATTACCTTTTTTGGTGACTCTGGATTAAAACAATAATATTTCATTATATAAAGTTATATGTCTTACTAAAGTTATCAAATATGAGAATTATCCATATGTAGGAATATTTTAGAAAAGCTTATTTGGATATTCTGCCAATTAAGCCCTCTTATACTATTAAACCTCTTTTTATTCCATAAATCAACCTATCATAATCCCTAGCATTTAAGATATTAATATAACCTAAGATTAGATTCATAAAAATTCCTTCATAATTGATACCAATTCGCTATTTTAATCAATTCCTTTCTATTTGAATTTATAGTTTGATTTCAATAATATACTTAAGGAATCAAAAAATGAAATGAGAATAACTTATGAAAAATTGTTAAGAATTAAAAAGATTTTAAAGGTGTTTTCATTTGAAGTAAACTTTATTGTAATTATCTATTAAGATTGGAATAGTAAAATTTTTTTTTATATTTAAAATGGCGATTTCTAAAAAAATGTTTATGTCATGAAGACAAACTCAAAAATATCTGTAGAATCTTTTAGAGAAAATTTTGATAATATATTATTATTATTTATAGGAAGTTATCAAATAACTAAATACGAGATCCAGAACAAATAGGATTTGGTATAAATTCAAAAGATAATGACTAAAAACAAAATAAAGGAGTATAAAATGGAAGATAACAAACTAATATGTCATATGAGTGATAATAATATTATTCAATATTAATCTTAAATTTGGTATGATTATTTTTAAACATAAAAAAAGGAAATACGAGAATTTTGGCTAAAAAATAAAAAAGAAAAATATGATGATTTTAGAGTTCCATATTTATACATTAATTATAAAGAAAATTTATTAGAAATTAAACCATTGGTTTCTTCATTTAATAATATAATATTATCAGTTAATGGTTAAATACTTTAATCACATATTTTTGTACCTAATATGAAAATATTGTTAATTGTATAAAATGAAGATGAAATATAATTAAAGATTTACTTTTTCGGAATAAATTAGATCAGCTTTCTTTATTAAATGCCATTATACGAATTTTAAATATAATACCCAATAAAAATAAGATAATTTGAAAATTTATTTGGTATAATTACAACTAAAAATGAATAAGATTATCTTTTTATTTATGATGTAACCTAACAAGGAAGATCTTGCTTGAGATAAATTACGAAGATGCAACCTGATTATAATGATTTTGATCTTATCGATGAAACTGGCATTTAAATTCAAATTTTATCCAATGCAATTTTTATAACATATCCAATTATCCAGATTAGTATAAAGTAATCAAGAAAATCAGATTATGCTCAAATATTATCAGTTCTTCAATTTTAAACTCAATCCTTTATAGAATCTATACCTACTACTTTCAAAATCAACTTGTATTTGTAGAATTTAGATAATAATCTCAGATTTAAGTTTGGTGTTGAAAAATAGATGTTATTTGTTAACAGTTAGAATGAAATCACAAATATTGATTCCATTTATGGAAGTATAAACAATATATATTTAAGTAATTCTTGTGAAGGAACTATATAAAAACCAATTCATATTATTCAAACCAAAAAATAATATTGCTGGATATTTAAATAGTAACTTTGCTTATTGAATAATAAACAATTAATATATGATTACTTTGCTTAAAATAGATATTTTGAATTGTAAGAGCATCAAATTTTCTTAAATTATTTTTTATCATCATAACAAAGAATTCTCATCATTTATGATAAATAAAATAATTCAATTGGTATTTTCAACATATCTAAAAATGATTTAATAGAATAAAATTTTAATGATTCCATATTTTATAAAGAATTTGGAATGAACCATATTGATTCAAATATTTACTAAATAAGTTAAGTTAATAATCTGTTGGTGATTTATGCATAGCAATTTATTATGTTATACTCATTAATAGAAAATAAATTATAATATACAGGATAATGCCAAATATAAGGAGAAACTAAAATATAAGTTGAATTTTTACTTATTTATGATTCATCTTAAATATTTCTAATTTTAGAGACTAATTATTATTTGAATTTAATCATCTGTAGAAAAATTATGCGTGAAATCATTTAAATAAATTTTAATCCTTTTTTTCAAATTGTGGCTTTTCATGTTTTGCATTCAGAAATTTAAGATTAGGAGATTTATTTTAGAATTATACTATTTTCAAATTAAGATATAGGGTACATTTATGAACTTAAATTTGAAACTATATCTTTTAAGCTTCAAAAATAAAAAATGAGTTAAATTTTAAGATATTTTAATATCATTTTTGAAAATTTCTAAAAATTGACAGATACAATTTTTATTTTAAAAGGAAAATCCGATCAATCCATCTCATAATCATCATCTTATTTATATAAAATCAATCGAAATTCATCAAATGAAATAGAACTAGTTGATTATTTTTATAAATATATATAAGCTTATGAAATCTAGTATTACAATGAGACACATTTTATCTAAATAGAATAACCTACAGAACAACCAATTATATCGCTTATTTCAATTAATTATTATAAAGTATTTGCACAAAATCGATGTAGCATAGTTTTACAAAATGATGTATCAAAATTCGATTCAATAATAATTAAAGAGGAAAATATTCTCATCAAAACTTAAACAACATTATATTTAGTGATAATTAATTTTCTACTAATTATTTTTTTCAATAAGAAAAACAAAAAACAAAGTTTCCTTCATCTTTAAAGATTATGAGTATTATTATATATTATAATAAATATTGAATAGTATCAAAAAGCCTAAAATAAATATTTTAGTTTATGTTTGTTGCACAACATATAAATTTCTATATTTTATAAATACAAATCATAAAAATTAAATTTGTTTTACATTATTTAAATGACAGAAAATAAGTAAGATTTTTCATAATAACTATTAAATGATCCAATATATGATGATAAGTTTTGGGAATTAAAACCAGAAAAAAAGAATGAAACTCAAAATGAAATCTGGAATTAATAAGAATAAATTGTTCCAAATCCTGATTAGCCTTAAATAAATTAAGAAAATCCAAAAGAATAATAAGGTTTTTGGGCTTTATGCATTTGTTAATGTATTGGGGAATGTTTAGCGAGTTTTTGTCTAGAAATTGCCATTAGAGGATTGTGTTGAAATTAATTTATAATATTATAATACTTTGAATATAATTATTTTAATTTCGAATATTCCTAAAATAAAAATTCTTGAATTTAGCTCTAATATGGCTTTATTTTTTAAAATAAACAATACAAGTTTGCTATTAATTTCCTAAAACCATAAATAGTCATGATACACTCAAATGGGATTGAAATTTTTCTTCTATTACTAAAATATTTTCATATTGTTATTTAATACTTATATTTTATGAATCAATTAATTCTTTGATGAAAATAGTAAATAAAGCAAACAATAAATTTGATTAATCTGTCTTCAAAATTAAGGATTCATTCTTAAATCAAATTTGCAAAAGAATTAAAAATCAAATATTTTAAAAATTTAATATATGAATTCTGATGAGATTTTATAAAAAATTAAATAATCTTCTCTTCCTTGTTTAGAAACCATTTTAAAATTAGTTTTAGATTACGATTAAGAGGATTTCCACTTAATAGTATTTAAATTTTATTTTAATCAATTTTTTACTGTGAATTCATAGGTTTTCTTGCTAATGTTAAGATTTAATATATTTGTTAAACTAATAAACACCAAAACTTTCCAGCCTGAGAACTATAAAGTAATTCAACAACAATAAATTTCTTCTTAAAACCTGATCAATTAGTTACCTACTTAAATTATTTTATTAAATTTAGATGACCTAGTTTAAACAATTCATAAAATTGGTTCTGTACAATAAAACTCTGTTTGTCGAATAAAAGTTAAGCCTCTACTATAATAAAGGAAAAATTATTTATTGGGAGTGTTATTTAATCAATAAGGATATAAAATTATAAATATTTAAATTAGAATTTAAATTATTTAATGGAAGCTAAATTGATAATAAATTTCGGTTTGAAGGAGTTCATAAAAGTTTTTGCAATTTTGAGAATTAATAAGAGTTTCTATTTAAATAATCATATGATGTAATAATTTTTAGGGAAAGGAAAGAGCATTTATTTAAATGTAAATAATGAATAATTAGTTAATAAAGTGTAATATATAATTAAGTTGAACAACTTGTTTAATAGTAAATAAGAAATGAAAAGTTTAAAGAGGTAGAAAATTTGAAAGGGAATATGGAAATTAAAAGAAGTTAAATTTTTAGATTGAAAGGTTATATGATTTGGAATAAAGTTTAAAGTAATAATTAGTATAAAATCTTTTGTTGATCATATTTTGGATTTTGAAATATAAGATTGATTAAGTTGTTAATGTGAATTATTTGAACAAAATTAATTAATAATTAATAAGAGGAGTTTATATAGAGAGTTGAGATGGTTTAATTGATTTAAATGTTTTTTGAAAATAATCTGATATTCCCTGATAAGTTTTAGATTATATNTGATACACTCAAATGGGATTGAAATTTTTCTTCTATTACTAAAATATTTTCATATTGTTATTTAATACTTATATTTTATGAATCAATTAATTCTTTGATGAAAATAGTAAATAAAGCAAACAATAAATTTGATTAATCTGTCTTCAAAATTAAGGATTCATTCTTAAATCAAATTTGCAAAAGAATTAAAAATCAAATATTTTAAAAATTTAATATATGAATTCTGATGAGATTTTATAAAAAATTAAATAATCTTCTCTTCCTTGTTTAGAAACCATTTTAAAATTAGTTTTAGATTACGATTAAGAGGATTTCCACTTAATAGTATTTAAATTTTATTTTAATCAATTTTTTACTGTGAATTCATAGGTTTTCTTGCTAATGTTAAGATTTAATATATTTGTTAAACTAATAAACACCAAAACTTTCCAGCCTGAGAACTATAAAGTAATTCAACAACAATAAATTTCTTCTTAAAACCTGATCAATTAGTTACCTACTTAAATTATTTTATTAAATTTAGATGACCTAGTTTAAACAATTCATAAAATTGGTTCTGTACAATAAAACTCTGTTTGTCGAATAAAAGTTAAGCCTCTACTATAATAAAGGAAAAATTATTTATTGGGAGTGTTATTTAATCAATAAGGATATAAAATTATAAATATTTAAATTAGAATTTAAATTATTTAATGGAAGCTAAATTGATAATAAATTTCGGTTTGAAGGAGTTCATAAAAGTTTTTGCAATTTTGAGAATTAATAAGAGTTTCTATTTAAATAATCATATGATGTAATAATTTTTAGGGAAAGGAAAGAGCATTTATTTAAATGTAAATAATGAATAATTAGTTAATAAAGTGTAATATATAATTAAGTTGAACAACTTGTTTAATAGTAAATAAGAAATGAAAAGTTTAAAGAGGTAGAAAATTTGAAAGGGAATATGGAAATTAAAAGAAGTTAAATTTTTAGATTGAAAGGTTATATGATTTGGAATAAAGTTTAAAGTAATAATTAGTATAAAATCTTTTGTTGATCATATTTTGGATTTTGAAATATAAGATTGATTAAGTTGTTAATGTGAATTATTTGAACAAAATTAATTAATAATTAATAAGAGGAGTTTATATAGAGAGTTGAGATGGTTTAATTGATTTAAATGTTTTTTGAAAATAATCTGATATTCCCTGATAAGTTTTAGATTATATAATGAATATAAGAATATTGTTATTGTTTTATAATATATAATAAAAAAAAGAAGAAAATGGACCCCGAAAAGTAACTGATGGATTAACCATTAGAAGAGGAGTCTGATATGGATGAAGATGAGAAGAGAGAGAAGGGAGATTATAATTAACAACTGTATGATGGTTCATTGAATAGATTAGTTTAAGTGCATGTTAAAAAGGAGATTTAACAGCAGTGTAACGTTGTTTGGATAAGAAAGCAAATGTATTATAGGAGGATAAGAAAAAGTGGAATCCTTTAATGTGGGCATCTTGTAGAGGGTATACAGCGATAGTGCGTGTTTTATTATCTCGTTAAGCAGCAGCACCATATGTTCCTGAGATGGCAATAATATTATAGAATTTTGCATAGACAATGCCAATATATTAAAGTCCATTAAATTAATCATCTCCAAGCAAATCAACATATTTAGGAGGAAGTCCTGGGATTGGAGCATAATCAGCAGTGTTTAATTTTCCTTAATAATAATTATCAAAGAAAGTAGTTTAAGGAGTAATAAATTAATAAGTTCGTTCAACTCCATTAATGTGGGCATGTTTTAAAGGACATGTAGAGATTGTATGGTTATTATTAAAGGGAGGATTAAGTTGGGAGGTAAATTTAATATTTATAGAATAATAAATAGGATGTTGATCAATTTGGGAATAATAGTGTACATTTAGCAGCATCAGGAGGCAATTAGACCGTATTTTAAACATTGTTGTTTTATGGAGTTGCAGTAGATAGACCTAATACTAGAGGACATAGAGCTAAAGATTTAGCAACAAATGCTTATATATTACAGTTGATAAAATTATTAGAAATAAGTGGTGAGACATCTAAATATTATTGTATGACATGTCGTAAGTTTTGTAAACAAGATGAATATAGAATGGAATGGGTATTTGAAAATGCTGAATCTACAGATATGGAGAAACCAGAAGGTAGATGTTTGAATTGTTGGAATGTTATTAAGAAACATACTGAAGAATTATTAAATGTAATTGATAGATAAGATCATAAATTATTAACAGAGAAATTGAATGAAATTGAAAAAGGAATGATTATCAAAAATGAAAATGGAAAAGATGAATTATAAAGAATTGAAATAGATCCTAAGAATTATAAATTTGCATTAATTGAATAAGAGAAATTAAGAACTTAAAATGTAATCTTAGAGTATTTGAATACTTTAAAACATGTATCAAATTATAAGACTATTTTGAAATCAGTAAATTAGATTTAAGCAATGTTAGATGATGCTATAAGTAGAGGAGTTGTGGTTGATGCTCATGTTAAAGAAGAAGCAGAAAAAGAAATGGATAGATTAAAAGCAGAAGTATATAAATTGTATAATAAATATAATAGAGAAATTTATAATTTGAATTAGATAATTTAGATATTGGATTATCTACACCAGAATAAGTGGTGGTATTAAATGATAAAGTAGTTATAGCAACAGAAAAAGGAGTTGATAAATAATACATAGGATAAGCATCAGAATTAAGAGATAAAATGGCTAAAGCTATTCAAGCTAAAAAAATATTGAAGATGTTTAATGAATATCCTGCTAGAGAAATACCTGATCCTATTAAATGGGATCCTAAAACTAAAAAACCTATTGATCCTATAACTGGAAAACCTATAGACCCACTTAAATTAGCATTATAAAATTAAAAAAAAAAAAAAAAGAAGGAACCAAAATTCGTGATTCCTGAATGGGCTAATGATGTAAAATCTTTAGATGAAAATATTAAAGGTAATATTTATTGAATAATCATTACATAGGATTGGAAGGTTTATTAAAGGAAGCAGAAGTTCTTAATTTAAATCATGAATTTGTTGAAGAAAGTGTATAATAAATAAAAAGAATGAAAAATGAAATGAGATATAGAAAAGAAGTAGATGAATAATTGAAATGGATTGCTGATGCTAAAGCTGCAGAAAAAAAGAAGAATAAATGATATATAATGTATCAATCTAATAATTCAATATTCTTGACTGCATTAATTATGACTTGTTTTGATGTCTCAACAATTTCACCACCTACGATCATTTCATCTAAAATTGAATATGCCTAATAATATAATAATATTCTTTTACTTTATTAAAATTGAAGACTATATCCAATTCGCAAACATTTCCAAAATATTTGTCTAATACTTCTACATATAAATGTATCAATTCTAGCATTGTCAATTCATTGTCACTCACATCTACACATAAAGCAAAAAACAATCCTGCATATCTTTTATAGATAATTTTGTAATTCCTAAACTATTTACAATCATATACTAAGTACTTCCAAAAAATTAGTATGTTTTGTATCTCTACAAACTATTAATCGATGAACTTCATTCTATAATTTCACTTTCTCAGCATCGTCATAATACACATACCATTTTGACAATCTTGTCTTCCCTTGTCTATTCTATAACAAAATGAATCTAATCTTAAATGAATTACTATAAATATTTGTACCATGATTCCTTTCAAATTTATTTATTTAATTATAATATATATATATAATAGTAAATTCATTAAGCAATCCAAGGATGACTGATAATTTATTATATAGTAGGTCTCTTATTACAATCATGTTAAAGGATACCTTTCACAAAATTCTAGAAATCCTTACTACTCCATGAAGGGAATGTATATTACAAATACTAAATCTTCCTCTTCGTATCATTCTCATTATGTGATTCAAATGGAGGTCTCCCTATTCTTAATCTTCTAAATTACCTACTACTAATTCATATGCCAATACTCCTATTGTCCATACATCCACTCTATTATCATGAGTTTGATAATTAATCATCTCTGGACATAAGTAATCCAAAGTACCACATAAAGTCTTTCTTCTATTTGATGGAGTATGAACACTCCAACCAAAATCTGATATCTTAAATATATCATCGTTAAAACATAAAATATTTTCAGGTTTTAAATCTCTATGAATTACATTCATTTAATGCATATATCCTATTGCCAATGTTATTTATTTTATTATAATTGATGCCATTTTTTCATTGAATCTCTTATTCTATTACTTTTTCATTAAACCATACAAATCACCCAAAGGTGCCCATTCTAACATTAAATATACACGTTTTTCTGTTTAAAAAAAACCATAAAAATTAATAATATTAGGATGTTTAAGATGTGTCAGTATTTCAACTTCTCTAGTCAGAGATCCTGTTAATTAACAGAGATTTAATTATCTTTTGCTTATTACTTTCAAAGCTAAAATAAATTTACTTTCACGCTCCCTATTATGATATAAAATTATCATTTACCTCGCTAAATAAACATGACCAAATTTACCATTTCCTAAATATCTACCCATTTCAAAATTTCTTAGACTCCATTAATTAGGATCAAATTCTTTTTTTGTTAATATTAATTNATATCCAATTCGCAAACATTTCCAAAATATTTGTCTAATACTTCTACATATAAATGTATCAATTCTAGCATTGTCAATTCATTGTCACTCACATCTACACATAAAGCAAAAAACAATCCTGCATATCTTTTATAGATAATTTTGTAATTCCTAAACTATTTACAATCATATACTAAGTACTTCCAAAAAATTAGTATGTTTTGTATCTCTACAAACTATTAATCGATGAACTTCATTCTATAATTTCACTTTCTCAGCATCGTCATAATACACATACCATTTTGACAATCTTGTCTTCCCTTGTCTATTCTATAACAAAATGAATCTAATCTTAAATGAATTACTATAAATATTTGTACCATGATTCCTTTCAAATTTATTTATTTAATTATAATATATATATATAATAGTAAATTCATTAAGCAATCCAAGGATGACTGATAATTTATTATATAGTAGGTCTCTTATTACAATCATGTTAAAGGATACCTTTCACAAAATTCTAGAAATCCTTACTACTCCATGAAGGGAATGTATATTACAAATACTAAATCTTCCTCTTCGTATCATTCTCATTATGTGATTCAAATGGAGGTCTCCCTATTCTTAATCTTCTAAATTACCTACTACTAATTCATATGCCAATACTCCTATTGTCCATACATCCACTCTATTATCATGAGTTTGATAATTAATCATCTCTGGACATAAGTAATCCAAAGTACCACATAAAGTCTTTCTTCTATTTGATGGAGTATGAACACTCCAACCAAAATCTGATATCTTAAATATATCATCGTTAAAACATAAAATATTTTCAGGTTTTAAATCTCTATGAATTACATTCATTTAATGCATATATCCTATTGCCAATGTTATTTATTTTATTATAATTGATGCCATTTTTTCATTGAATCTCTTATTCTATTACTTTTTCATTAAACCATACAAATCACCCAAAGGTGCCCATTCTAACATTAAATATACACGTTTTTCTGTTTAAAAAAAACCATAAAAATTAATAATATTAGGATGTTTAAGATGTGTCAGTATTTCAACTTCTCTAGTCAGAGATCCTGTTAATTAACAGAGATTTAATTATCTTTTGCTTATTACTTTCAAAGCTAAAATAAATTTACTTTCACGCTCCCTATTATGATATAAAATTATCATTTACCTCGCTAAATAAACATGACCAAATTTACCATTTCCTAAATATCTACCCATTTCAAAATTTCTTAGACTCCATTAATTAGGATCAAATTCTTTTTTTGTTAATATTAATTATACCTTTATCTTATTAATTGAAATCTTCATCTTCACTATAAGTATTTCTTGTTTCTTCCTCTATCAAATTTTATGCTTGATGTTTCTTATTCAAACAATCAACTACCTATGTATTCTCATAAGTATTTGTAATTATCGATAGAACCGAGTTTGCGTTTTGCCACATACTATTTAACAGCAAAAATTATATTATAATTAATATGATGAATAATTACAAATTATATTTTTATAACTGATAATAAATATATTATATAGATATAAATCATGATATAACTATTCTATTGAGATTACCATCATGTTTTTTGTATTAATCACAAGCTTTACGAAGATTACCAAACCAACCAAATGGTCCCTTCGCACTAGCATGATTTACCAATAATTTAGGAATTGAACCTTTTATATCATTATTAGAGACAAATGTAATTTTGGTGCCAGAAGGTGTATTCTCAAAAACATAACCTTTTTTTTAATAATAATAAATTAAATACCAGCTATTTCAGTATGCGCACGAACTGGACTCTTCGATATTGGAAATTCTTCTAAATCAACTGAATAAAACAATAAACATATTTATCCCTTGTAAGGGAAATCATGTCTTAATATTCTTCTTTACAACCACTCTCTTGTACTAACTATTGGAATCGGTGGTACTACTATATAATACATAATATCAATATCTTCTCGCTCATGTCTTACTATATTAAATTTCTGCATAATTTTATCCCATTTAGTTCTAAACTCCTTCTAATAAACAGCATTAAAAACCACTTATTTATCATGACCATAAATAAATGAGTGTCCTTTTAGAAAAACACTACCACAACCAGGTTTCATAGATTTATAAATGTAAATATCTTCCTTAGTTGTTACACATTCCCATGTGTCAGTTGATTCCTCATAAAATTTGAGAAATAGTTCAAACTTTTTAATTGTCTCTTCTGAATAAATTACCTAATTTATATCTACTGATTAATGATGTTACAAAATTATTTATTATTCAGGTTCCAAAATTTATTTAATATCAGCTGAACTTAAAGATTAAGCCAATGAATTCTATATTATTTAGTCTCCTTAATTTGAATCAATCTTCATAAACACCAAATTTGGATGTTAAGTTATTTTTAATAATAACTCCTATTAATCTTATTACTTTTTAGTTGATTTTATACCCTCTTCTTGTAAAGGTTAAAATTCAGACTCACTACCAGCTGAAAATTGCGATTTAATTTATTATTAAGGAGAACCATGTTAGTCCATATCTTCTTCTTTAACAATTTCTAATTCAATCTACTTTTATTCCAAACAATCTCTCTATTAATCTATTTGTTGATCTATAACTATTCCAATTTACTCAATGTCTCTGAAATGTTGTTTTTTCAAATATGAAATTATACTTTCATTTTTTATTGGTTACTTCATCTTCTCAGCTAACATCTTTATAAAGGCTATTCTCATTTACGGATCTGGGAATTACTTAGTCAATTATATAATCTCTTTTTAAATTAAAAAAGTATTTGCTTAATCTTTAATTTTTTTCAGTACTTTAGATTTTGGATTAGACTCCTCTAACAATCGAACTAAGGGTCTTAAAACATTGTCAACAGCCTTCATTAAACATACCTCAAGTTCTGATCTAAAATTTTTAAAATGCTAATATTCTTCAATATCTCCACGATTCAATTCACTATTTTCACTCAACAATTTCAAGATGCGTAAATATTCTTGAGACATTTTTAGAGATAAAATTAGAGCATGAATAAAGTGTTTCTCTTTAATAACTTCAGCTACCTTAAGTATGATCTTTCTAGCTTGTTTTTATTATTCATTACTGAATTATTTATAATGTAAAGCAGTTTTCATTTCTAATAACAATTTCTCAGCTATGAATCTAACAAAATTGACATTATATCTGTAAGTTTTACCTCTTTCCTCTGCCCATTTAATAAAACAACGTAATCTGATTGAATAGATATCAAACTCTAATAATACCTTTTGAGATGCAAATGTCTTCTTCATTCGACGACCTGCATACCTTCCAAGCATAACTCCTAAAACTCCTCCAGCTATCATACCCATAATTGTAAAACCCAAGGCTAAGAAACCAACAATACCCATAAATGCCATGCCCAAAAGAGAACTTATATTATTTTATAACAATACCCTACATTACGTCTATCGAAAATGTTTCTATCATCAAGGGCAGTACTAAACTCATAAAATTGAGCATGATTAAAAAAAACTTATGGTAAGTATAAGTGTAATCTCATTATATGATGCAAAAGATCTTTTTCATTTTTAATTGCAGGATAAAACTCAATCCCTATAGTCGGTTTGCATTCAGGTATTAGTGCAGTTCTGTTATATTTGTAAAGTTGCAAACGTTTCTCAAACATATCTACTAGAGTTTCCCAACTCCCAGCAAAATGTTCCTTTTATGCCATTTATTGAGCAGAAAACACAAGCTTTTAAAGAGATAAAGCTTACATAAATTTAAAATATTTTTATGATAATTTTTGGAAAAATAAAAATTACATAAAAATAAGAATATAATCATTTATTGAGTGACTCTTCCAACGCTTATATCTTTTAAAGTAATTAATTAATTTCTTATTCTTAATATTTAATCATCTATGAAGTTTAAGCCTATAACTTTTCCCTATTCTAAATTTCCTCAGCTACTCTCCTTTCTATCATTTCAGAATGAGAAACAACTCTAAATGCATATTAATGATGATTTATATCTATTTCCTTCCTCCCTAATTATTTCTCCATAAGTTCACATTGTTCAACCAAAGCTCTTCTCCATTTCTGTAATTTGTCTATACTAATGGTCTCCACTTCAGTAGATACGATATCATTTTCTATTTCCTGCAAATTAGTCAAAGTTTCAGAAGATGTAAATTAACATTGCATTCCCATACTCCCACTACGAGATAATTAAGGTTTCTTAAGAGGAGCTTCCTAATTCTATTAATTCAGATTCACTGTCACTCTTCTTTATTATTATAATCTATGAGATGGTTAAATTGCTGGACTACGTGCTTTATTTACATTATTTGAATTGCCTTTATCAGGAAATAAGCGGACGTTATAAAGAGAGTTTACTTATTTTTTGTGTGTTGCCATTAATATTTAAATTATTTATTATGCATAGCCTCTCAAATTCTAAAAACAAAATTAAGCAAGAAAAATTAGAGTCTCTTGAAAGTATCATCAATCTAATATATATACATAGTTTAAATGCTCTCTTTCAATAATGAATTATTCCAACAACTCTTATAAATTTGGCAAGATAATCACATACCACTTTGTCATCAAAAGTACTTCTATAATATACTTAAAACTCATGAAACTTAAGCTCCATCACTTATGCGCTAAGAAATTGATAGTTTTTAAAACAATCATAGCATTGTGAAAACATTGCTTCATTTAACCTTAGGTAGAGAACTTTGTTTAAAAGAAATTTAAAAGACAAGATGTTTAGCTGTAATGGATTTTGTTAGATTGATATCTAAATAAATCTATGACCTTAGAAAATTAACTTACAATTTAATTGAATTTCATCGTAAATGGAGAAATGCTCTCAGTTCTTAGTTTCAATATAACTATACATGGATCATCAATAACAAAGACTATTTATTCAAAATACTTGATGATTCCAATATCTTTTAAATTACTCATCCTAAACTTCTAAGCTTTTTCAATCTCTAAGATTCTGATATTTTTTATTTGAGTATTATTCAATAAGCCCGTATGGAAAATGTTGAATATTATGATTTTTTGGCAATACATCAAATAAAATAATCTTAAGTTGATCGAATGATGGAGTCATTGAGATATTTTTAGGAATTAACTGCCTATTAAGATTTAACTGTCTAACCTCAACTTAATTAAACTAATAAAATGATGGAAACAATTTCATTCTTCAAAACTAAAACAACTATGTAATTCAATTCTCAAAAAATAAAGGTTGAAACTTCAACTATCACATAATTGGAGGATTACCCTAGTACAATGTTATATGCTTAAGAAGACCTTCAATTTATAATTTATCATTATCCATTTAAAGATATTGAGAGGGTCATCACCTTTTGGCAAAGCAAGAATGTGATAGAACTAAAAGAAGGGTTTAAGTGTCCGATTGCTCATATTAAAGATATTATTTTATTTTGGTAAGAAGCTATAATCATACAAGTAAACTAAATAGCTTTGATTGTGTGTTCTATAGATTAGGATTGCAATTACAGAAGATGGATTATACATTCACTTTATATTGTTTAAGAACTTAAATCTTGGCAATAAAAATTAAATAATATTATTTAGCATTTTATTAAAATGTTGATTTCAAAAGGAGACAATTTTGTTTCCTTAGTGATTTCATGTAGCAATGATAAGCCAATTAAATAATCATTATAGTAATTGAAGTTTGCTTTTCTTAAAAACGTTTCTTATCCATAAGTTGCTGCTTAATTTTATGAATTAAAAATTAATCAAAACTAAAATAGTTAAAACCAACATTAAATTAATCCTGGGTCAAGAAAATACTTTACACCATTGGCTTTAAGAATGATTCGTATATTTGCCGCATAAGCCTAATCATAAATGATCACTGATGAGGAATTGTTAATTACTTAATTTAGTGCTAATTTGGGAAAGAACAATATTATATAATTTGAAAACAATATTACTGCTTTACAATCTATATTGTCTGTATTTATTATATTTATTACGATTTTACAAAGAAATCAAAATTGTATGGTCAAGAATACGTGTTGGTACATAAACTTTAAGACATCAAGAACAGATTTTAAGTTTAATTTAACTCTCCTATTGATTCACCTGTATATTTCTAAAATTTTGCAATAAAATTGAACTTTCAATACTTTTCAAGTGAAATCCATCGAAACACAAATGCACCATACATTCGTTTGATTCCTGTATGATTATATCTCTTCCCTTTTAGCATCCTCCTTATAATGAATAAGACGCTTCTATATTGGAATTAACATCTAGTGATATATAATCGCGAAGAATCTATCTTGTTTCAACTATACACCCAACCATTAAGATGTATTGTTAGCTAATAAAGTTAGATACATATATGAGGTTTAGAAAAATGAAATAACAAAATCAAACATTTAATAACATGTCAATTAAATTTTTGAAAAGTTCGATAAGAAATAGGAAGGACTATAAAGTTTATGGTTACCTTTCTTCAAAGCAACAGGAAATTAGCTTACTTTACCTAATTCAATGATAAATGGATTCTTTTAAAATAATACTTCAGTTTCTTTTTGTTATAATCGAATTCCAGGATTTCATAGCATTTAAAATTCGCATGATTTAGATAAAGTTATACAACCTCCTTTTTTGATTGGGATAATTTAAAATGATATAGAATAAATAAATAAGCCTTTATTTTCAATGTTGGTTGAGAAAGATTTTATAATAAGAAGTCCAGAGAAGTTAGTATAAGGGAATTTACATGGTTAACAAACATTGCCTTTATTAATTTAACCAAGAGAAATTGATGGTAAATTGAATGAGTTACTGAAAATCACAGTATTAGAAATATAGAAGTCATTTAATTCTGATCCTTATTCTTTATCATATAAGTTGAAGTATGGATTAGAAGCTGCATTATTGAATATGAATAATGGATATGCACTTATATGTGTTGATGAGAATCATATTCAAGAAAAGAAGTGGATAATTGAATCAATAATGACAAACAATCTTGATAATTTATAAGGAATATTATTAAAGTTGAGTGAATATATATTTAATGCAGATATATTTGCAAGTGAAATTTAAATAAGTTAGGTAAATTAATTTAATTGATATTAAGAATCATTATTCAGATTAAGGAGAATTGGTAGCCAATAAATAAGTAACTGATTAAATAAAGAAAGCTAAATTTAAATGGAGATTAGTAGATAATGATGCAAGGAGTTAATAACGAAAGACAATTTATAGTTTAAAGAGATTAGCTTAAGATTAGTATCTTATATAATATGATGATTTAGTCCTCCAAAATAAGAGAATTAAATTTCAATATAATTTTAGAGTTATTATGCTTTATAACAAAGTGAACAAAGAATATAGACATAAAATAAATTAGAATATTTTAGAGTTAAAGATTTTTACTAATTTTTTGAAGATTGTTTTTAATATAATATGGATAGTGAGTATTAAGATGAGAATCCTTTTTTAAGAAATAAGTTTTAGTCATATTAGGGTTCTTTAGGGAATTGTGAATTTAGAGTATTAGGGAATTAGATTGAATTAGGATAGAGTTTAAAATTCGATATAAAATTACCAAAATTTGATGAAAGTTTATAGATGGTATAGATATATGTGTAGAATAAATAGATTAATGTATTTTAGATGAATAGTCAGTTAAGATTGAAAAGATAGAGATAATTAATGATAAAGAATAAGAAATACATAGAGATTCCTAATATTGAAGGGATTTAAGAGATATTTTAATCTGATTTGTATTAGAGTAATTTAAGAGTTTTCTTTGTGCCTACTTCAGATTCAGTTAGTTATTTTTATGTGATTGAACTACCCAATTAATAGATAGTGAATCAAATAAGATAGGATTATATGAATATTACATAGATGATAAGTTAAGTAAGAATTGATGGTTATTTGTTATAGTCATTTCCTTTTAAATACAAACATAGTTGTACATCTTTATTGATAAAAGAATTTGATAAAACATATACAATGAAAAAAGAATCAAATTTCTTACATGTAGATTTTGCTTTGAATAGTGAATATACAATAGGACCATAGATTGTATAAGAAGAGAATAGAGAAGATTAATAATGGATTGTATAGTTACCAATGATGTGTGGAATATTGTCGACAATAGTTAGAAATTAATATGAGAGACCATTAATTGGATGGATAATCGAATAATGATATATATACTTTATGAAACAAAAATTTGCATACATAAAAAAATGATGGCAATTCTATAGAGTAAAAGAGATTACTTCTATTAGATAAAGCAGTTGATTATAAACATGTTAGAGAATATAACACAATCATTCGAAGCTCTTTGTAGAGTAGCTGAAGAATAATAGTCACTAAAACCAATAGAAAATGCAATCCGATTTATGGATCAATATTATGATTGCATCTAATTTGTAAAATAGGATTACATAACAAAAGAGATTCATTTCAGAGAGAAATTATAATCTAAATTTAGTAAGCATTCCTCTGATATTAATCATATTTCAGTCTATCAAGATGAAGTCTTATCTTGTGGATAAGATGTTTACTTGTATAAATAGAATAAATAGTATCTAATTAAATAGAATAATCTTCCTATTTACAGTGGGATCATTTTAACAGATGGCAAAGTATTATTAGGAGGAGAAGAAAAAGTTGTGCATGTTTATAAATTAATTAATAATCAATATATTGAAGATACTTAATTAAGAGGATTTTCTAGAGCTATCACTTCTATTGTTAAATCTTAAAATGAAGATTATATAGGAGTCAGTTGTTTAGATGGTAAAATAGCATTATATTAAACTCAAAATCTAATTAAACTTGGAGTATGGATCAATGATTTAGGATCAGCTTATAGTTTATCTTTTAGTATAGATAACCAGTTCATTGCATCAGGAAATAAAAATGGTATTGCTATTTGGGAAATTAAAAAAAATAATCAAATTAACTCAGCTGAATTAATTCAATCATTTATAACCACTAAAAAAATAAGATCTATTGCATTTTCTAGAAAACAAAAATTCTTAGCTGCCTCTCATAAGAATGAAATTCTCTTGTATCATTATTATATCGATGATTTCAAAATCTATTAAAAATTACATCATCATAATGAAATTGTTAATTGTGTCTCTTTTGGAACAGATATTCTAATATCAGGAAGTGATGATGCAACTTTATGTTTATGGTCAAGTAGCATCAAAGGTTATTGGATATGCTATTAGATCATACAAATGAATTGTTGTATAAACTCTATTGCCCTCAACACTAAATAAACAGATCTGTATTTTGATTGTTTTGATACCGTTATACATTATTAATCGATTTGACATACATTTCATCATCATTATATTCAATAAACTTGTTTTTCTCAGTTGTTCTTTATCTGATTAAACAATTTTCTTTATCTAGATGGTCATAAACTTTATTCTATAATTGTTTCTAATATGTGAATTTTTTTATCACAATATTATTATTTATCCTCCTCCTTTTTCTATCCTATAAAACTACTTCTCTAATTCTCCATTGTATATCATTTATAATTTACATTCACTATCGTAATTTAAAAACTAGATTTGATTCTAACATTTAACTTAGGATTTCTCTATTTACTATACTTGAATATTAGTTTATTTTCAAAAGGTTTAAATTATTGTAATATACTAAGTTATTTATAACTTATTGAAATAACCATCATAAGAATTTTAATATTTTACTTTTTATCTTGATGTTTTAAATCAACTTAATTAATAATTATGATTAATCAAATTTTCAATGAAGACATGAGAGCTAGTAAAAAACTCAAAATAAAATTCTAAAAGAAACCTGGAATGAAAGATTCTTAACTTATAATGCAGCATCTAGCTGAAAGTGTAGCTAGAGAATCTCAAAAACTTGAACCAACTCCTAATCCCCTTTTACATGATTCGAGATTATAAGAGGAATTTTCAGATCGTAAAAGGCAAAGCTCTGTTCATTAGTTTTTGAATGATCGTCCTTTGGCTCAATCAAATTATTTTACTCCTGCTGATAGAATCACTTTTGGAAGTATCGATAATAGAGATAGGTCATATGATCGTTTTTAATCGAATTGGTACGTGTAATTAATATTAATCTAAGCTCTTTGAAATCTTCTCTTGCATCTAGCTAATTGTTTTCAATACCGAACAAAGTAACAGAATTGATTGGACATTATCCTGAATACTTAAAGATTTTATCTGATGATATTGAAAACTAGAAGAGAAAAATATGTGTTGACTGCAATAGGCTTAAGGATCTTATACACGAAGAAATAGAAAAAAAACAATGTGAATTGTTAAATTCTCTAGATTAGATTTTAGTAAATTATGAATCTAATTATTAAACATTACAAGACATGGTTAATCAATTTAAGCAATCATTTTTATAAGTACCATCAGCATTGAATAGGTCAATTCCTGTAAATATTTCATCGATCAATATATTTCATTACGATCAAGATGAAAACTATAAAAAGATAAAAGAAGAGAAATGTCTTATAAAGCAAAGATTATCTAATATAGATTCAGAATTGATGAAACGAACCTTAATCTTTATGGCTGAAGATATGGACAATTAAATCACCCATAAACCAGGTTATAGACATACAGAAACTTTACAATTAAAATATGATGAATTTTAAAAATAACTGATTAACTCACTTTCAACTTAATTAAATGAAATGAATCTTGTATTGGAGATTGCTCCATAATACAATTATGAGCATATATTATTATTGCCTAAGGTTGAAACTGTCATTGCCAATAATAGATAAAACGTTATAGGAGGAGACAGAGATATGTAAGAGTTGGAAAATCTAAAAACACTGATTCAAAACAAATTAAAATCATAAAAGTTTAATATGAATATTAGTTTGGGATTGGGTTAAAGTATGAAAAACTTTGGATTAAAGTTAGAATATAAATATTAATCAAATAATCCTTTATTAAGTATTTAAGCAATAACTGATAATATAATTGCTGTTGGTAGTAGGAATGGATTAGTGCAAGTATGGGATTTGAAAAAAAAAGAGTAATGTTTTTCAGTGTAAACAAAATAACCTGTAACTTGTATGAGAATTTTTAAAGGATTTTAAGGAGATTTTAATGTAAGTTCAAGAGTGAATGTTTTGGGAGTGGATTTAAAAGAATAGTAATATTTGGTAACAGGTAATTAAGATATAAGGATATGGGATATTAAGAGTGGAAATTAAATAAAATAATTAAAAGGGTAAGGAAATGTGGTTACATCAATGCTATGTTTATTGGATAATCATACATTAATAAGTGGGCATGAAGATGGTAAGGTTTCATTTTGGAATGCTTATTCTGGTATGGTTATGAAAAAGCTTTAAGATCACAGTGATTCTGTAAATGGAATAATATTAACAAAAGATGGAAGATTGATAACAGGTGGAAGTGATAAAAGCATTATAATATATTAATTACATTATGTTAGATCACAGATATATACAAGATAAGTATTTGGAGATGCTTTAAAATAACATGTGATTAAAGATGAATGTTAAATATATTGTATGTAAGCATCTATGATTGATGATTAATTATTTGTGACAGGAGGTAGTGATTGTAAAATAAAGATTTGGAATCTAAAGACTTTGAAAGCTGAGAAAGAGATCATGGGACATAAGTAACCAGTTGGAGATTTTGTTATGTTAGAGAATCCTTTAGATGTTGATAAAGAAAAGATGTTTGCTTTAGTTTCAGTAGCTACTAGTGAGGATGTATTACGTATATCTACATCAATAAGTCCTCTTAATAGTGGAGTCTATTTGAATGAAAAAATTGTGAATGAATTTGGTGCTACATGTGGACCACTATTATAATTACTCTAAGATAAGGATGGATTGAGACTCTTAGTTGTTAATTAAGATGAAGACAATTAAAGTTTCATGATTTTAAAATTACAATGAAAATATATCATTCTTTTAAAGGTGAATCTATTTATTTCTCTTTTAATTACTTCCAATCTAATTTATCAAAGTATTTGTGTTCCATTATACTTTCCAATTTTGTTAATCTCTCCTATGGATTCTTTATTAACAAATTCTCCATCAGATCTTTTAACTCTCCTTTTATTTCTTTAGGAAATCCTCTTAAATTCTACATCTTCTCTTATTTTATTCTATCAACATCCCTTTCATCATTCTCAAATGGATAACAATCAAATTGTAATTTGTATAACAATGCTCCTAATAACCACCAATCACCACTTTAATCAAATACCATTTCCATTGCTTCTGGAGGAAACATACGTATTTCTTCATATGAATTTATTTTATAAAATATTGTCTTATTACTTGAGAAACTGAATCCAATTAATCTTATATAACCATCTTCTGCAATCAAAACATGTGGTGCATTCAAAGATCGATATATATAACCACTCTTATGTATTTCATTTATTGCCAAAACTATTTGTCCTGTAATGAATTATAACTAATTCTCATTTAATTATTTTCTTTTCATGAATTATTCAAGATCACATAAACAATTCTCTAATTCAAAAATAAACATTTAAGAAGTGTTCTGATATTGTATCAATTTACAAATAAAAGGAAATCGAACATTTAGTAAAATTTATTTTTACATCTCCAACATCTCTTAAGAAAAGAATATGTTCTTGTTTATTTTCTTTATTACTACCTTCTTGTCAAATCTAAAACACCTCTCAATTCTATGATTTGAATCACTAATTAACTGTATGATGTCATACTTACTTCCTAATCAGTGTAAACAAACTCACTTTTTTCAAGGCGTTTCAAAGGTTTTTATGTGTAATGAAAAGAATTCTAATGTAATTTCTATTATTCTGAAATATATATATCTTCAATCTCTTTCTATGTACAAAAATTTCCCATAAATACTAAAATAATTAATCATTATTTATTTATACAAAAAAAATTCTGATAGGAAAATTTTAAATATCTTAAATATTCCTTCTTATTTTAACTAACAATAACTTTGGTTAATTCAATTTATAATCAAATCTCTGAACAGAATTTGGTATTAACCATCATTCTTTTAATCAAGATATTGATCATTTATTGAGAAAAGTTTATATTATATAATATATATATATTTATTGGATATATTAATGAAAATATTTATCTAAATTTATATATCAATACTGATGAAATACGATATAATTATTAATTCTCTAAATTTAGAAATCAAAATTGATCTAAAAATTGTGGAATTAAGTTATATTAAATTAACAAAATAAATATATTTACATTAAGATATCATAAGAATAACAGATGTAGTTAAATTAACTAAATATCCAATGCTGACTCCCTCAATATTAAATGAAAATGATGTCAAAGAAACCCAAAAATGGTTAGATTCAGATATAGGAGGCTTTTTTAGTTGATTACTATAAGAAAATCCTAAAATAATACTTGATTGATTATCTTTGGATTGTTGATATAGTCTCAGTATCACTCCTAATGTATTTTACTCAACACTTAAGTAGTATCAAGATTATTTTTATAATCATTCTTATACTTTCTATTAAGATAAAATTAACTTTGCCATCTGTTTGACCAATTTTGATCTAGAAAGTCTATTTTAAAATATTTTTAGTGGAATCATAATCAAATGATGACTTTGTTTATTTTAATAATTCAGAGTGAAATTACTATTTTTAATAATAATATAAGATTAATATTTATGCAAAATAGAAACCTATATCCATTTCTCCTCTATTCAACTTAAATCATTTTAATAAACAATAATCTTAATTAATTATTTTCTAACATACTTTAATAGCTTACTCTCTAATGAAAGAGATATTAATAAAAATAAAATTTAAAGAAATTTTGAAAATTATTAATAACTTACAAATACCTCATATTCTTGAAATCAGAATGAAAAAACTAAACCAAATAATATACAACTCACTAAACAATCTAAAAATCATTTTCTACTATATTTTTACTCTTTTTAAGAATCAATAAATAATGTATTCTATATTCTGTATAATATACAGGTATTGGTCATACCTCTAAAAAAAAACTATTTTCTTTTTCAAATCATCAAAGTCATCATTCTCTCTCTATTTTAAGAAGTTTATAATGTAGAAATAATATTTAGATCATTATTAATAATAGGATTATTTATAATAAATATCATACTAATAAAATCTAATCAGCTTTATCTTGACTCTATATTTTAAGGATATAGACTACACTCTTCTGTTTCTAATTTAGAAAATAATACTAATTTTTAATAATTTTACTCACTCCATTAAGAATATAAAATTACTTATTTGACATACTTTTTTAACATCAAAATTATTTGATTACAACTATATTACTAAAAAACTTCATTAACAATTTATAACATGTTGCAATAAGCTTATTATTATTAATTCTCTTTTATTTAGTGACAAATAATAGTCTATTTCGTTCATAAATAAAATAAGTTGCCAAATATAAAAATAAATATTTCAGATGAATTTCAAGCTCAAAATTGTACTAGTTTTGTTCCTACATTATAATCACAAATTTGAGAATCAAAAATGTAGATATTATAAATTATCCATAGACTTAAAAGAATCTGATAATTTCTATTGTGTTTGAAAAATTTATATTTTTAGAAAAAAGAATTCTCACTTAATAATGAATGTAGAATATGATATTCTGATAGATATTAATTAATATTAAAAAGATTGTATTTAAAACTATAATAATTAAATTAATGTAATAATCGGCAGATATCCACTATGTTGAAATGGCAAATTATTCTGATGAAGCTTATCAATAATATAGAAATCAAATGTTTAACCCTCTTATTCCTATAGATAATTTGCCTCTTCAAATTAATCCAATTTTGAATGAAAATGAGTAAGCTGATTAGCTTGAGATGAGATACTAATTCCTCTTCAAATATTATGTTAAGTAGATTTTTCAAATTCTTGGTATAGCATTAGTTTTTGGAATCAATTAATTTGAAGTTTTCTCTTCAGTTTATTCATCTGAAGTAGAGAAAGAATTTTGTAATTCCTCTTACAGTAATCTGATATTTTAAGAAATATCAGATTATTATGGTTCTTCATAAGAATCTTCAAAATGGAAAGAATAAAAAATAAGAGATTATGAGTTTACATGGGTATATTATTTTATTGTTACTATTACTGCATTCTTTATTCTTTTTGTAGCATTTCTCAGAAATTATAGATGTTTTGTATATATATTTGATCTTATTTTTAGGCTAAAAAGTAAAATATTTTGCTTTTTATTTAAACACTCTTATTTGGTACCTTATTAGGAGGGTTTGCTTATGTGTCATAAAATAATTGGAAATATAAGAATAAAATATATTTTATCCTATTAACTTTACTAAGCTTAATTATTCATGCTTTATTCAATATAGTTTTAATAAAAATAAAGAAAATTTAATTTTATGGAAAACTAGTAAAAACATTAATTTTTATATTTTTTTCATTAAACTTTCTGGTAGGATTCAAATATTATTATATCCCACAAATTTTGCCAATAGTAGAATTTTTAGTCATATATTTCTTTTTTTACTTTGATTGTTTAAATATTTCACTTCTTGTATAACCATAAGAACTATCCTAAACAATAAACATTATTGATATAATAAAAAAGACTTATTATGATGGAAATTAAAGGGGAATTCTATCTAATTAGCATTATATAATGATCAATAAAAAGTTACTAGCAATCATTGCTATAGTAATTGGACTAATTCTATTTGAAGTATTTAGCTACTTTATTAATACTGTATTTTTCATCATAATTTCAATTATAACAGGATCTACTTTATTTAGTTTTATTGTTCCAACCCAAGTGGCTCAATAAGTATTATTTTTTTATATTTGATAGAACTTAGATTTAGATGATGTAAGCATTTCAGTTATGATAACTTACTTAGATTTTTTCTTTCCAATCCCAAATATCCTCAGAAGATTAAGAAAATGAAAATATTATAGAAATAAACAATTTTTATTATAAGTATTACATTATGTCATTTGAAAATCCCAACATATTAGCTTATTAATATTTTTTATATTTAAACATTTTCAACCAAAACTTTAATAATTGAATTTAACTTGAATTAAATTCCTTTTATTTTAAATTATGTTATTCTCAATCAAAAAGTAATCCAAGAAATTCATTTGAATGTCTAATTAACAAAAGAACAAGAAAAAATTGAAGATTTATAAATAATGAAATCTAAATCACAAATCATTCATTTGTCGATTCAAATCAATCTAACAGCTTATGAAAGCTTCTATTATTTGAAAATCAGTCATCTTAATTTGATTCATCAATCCAAATCAATAGAAATTCACAATTACTTGCCAATCAAAAAATCAATTCTCCTTATAAAAAATTCTTAAAATTTCACTTTTCATGAATTTAATTTATAATGTATTTATTTTTATTTTTAACACTACTAAACTAGATTATTCATTTTATTTTTAGATTGATTTAATGAATGCATAATAATTTTACAAAAATATTAATCTCACATTCTTTTGTTAATATTTTTCTTACTTTATACTTAAAAAGTGCTAATTATCTGTTTCAAATTCTTTATTGCCAATATTTGATTTAATTTCTATTAAAATTTCAGTTATTTAATCAGTCTTTTTGTTATCCATCAAATTGTGAATATTTTTTGTTAAAAAAGTGTTATTTATTGGTTGTTTTTTTCTAATTTTAATTCTTGGAGCAGTGACAATTATCACAAACATTAAATCTCCATTAAAGTTTTCTAGTCTAGGGATAGTATTAGAAATTATTTACATAATATTTAATAATATTAATTAATATATATTATTATTGAAAAATAAAGTCAAATTTAAATTTGTTGCTTCAGATTAATAAAATTAATAAAAATAAAAAAAAATGCAAGAACAAAATCACATTTTATTTATAAAATAAAATCATTAAAATTTAACATCTCTCAACAAAATTTATAATTTGAATTGTGTCTATTAAATAATATAAAAAGCATTAAACAAAAACTTAATTTTAAAAGCAAAAAATATTATTTAAGTGGAGATTTTAAACTTATATTTATATTTTCTTATTTTTCAAATCCAATAAATTTTATTATTATCTTATGTTGTATATATATATATATTTAAAAGGGAAAGTAAATCATTGTTTTAATTGCATAATTTTAGTTTTGTAAAATTGTCATGAGTTCTAATTTTTTCATTCTTTTATTAACTATGTTTTATCTGGATATCTTAAGTTGCTTTTATTAAAAGTAATACTCAAAAATTGAATATCAGCGTTAAACAACAATTTGTTGGTACATTGTGAAATATATTTTAATTATTGCTCATATTAATAAATAATTCCGAAAAAATGTTACTATTTATAAGCATTTTTTGCTATTTTTAAGTAGTAAAATCAGCAATATCTACAATAACTCAAACACTAAACCCTACTTAATAGTAATACACTTAATAACTAAATTTGACTTACCTACAACAATACATATATATGACAGCTGAGTTTAAATACGTTCCTTTATCATACTTATATTAGAACAATGAGTAAAATGAGAATAAATACATCATTTTTTCCTTATCATCAGATAAATCTATAGCAGTTTTAGCTTACTTAAAAATAGATTAAAATTTCAAAATTTGTATGGAAATAAAGTTGAATGACAATCTAACTTAAACAAATTCTTTTGATGTGATTGAAATACTTTAAGATCCACTTTTGATAGAAGGGAATTGGTTTACATTAGAATTAAGAAATGATTTTGCACTCAGAAAAGTTAATATCACTTTATATTAAAATTACAATATGTCTAATTAATTCAATAAAATATATTCAAGTTTTAACATAGATGTATTAGAATATTTTGAATTATAAGCTGGAATTACACCAGATGTATATTAATTTAAATATTCAATAGATTGAATAAAAATATAATTAATACTTTTAGGGACCAATTAGATTGTAAGTAATGGATAAAAGTAGAAGATTTAGTCCTCTAAGTATTTCATGTAGTTTTAATTAATTTTATGAGATCACTCAATTAGGGTATTTTAATAATAAAAATTTTGAAACTCATTAAATAATTTACAATATAAATAAATGTTTTGGATTATCTGGATGGATAAAGGTGAATAAAACAAATGAAGTTGATATAGTTAATGTAATAAAAATATTAGCAAATCCAAATGCTTAGATTAGTGAATAGATTGAATTATTAAATTTATAATACTTGATTAGCTAAGATTAGAATTAGATGTAATTAGATTATTAATCATATACAATTCCTTTACCCTTAAGTAATTCTATAAACTCATTATAAAAATCAATAACTTTTGAATTAAAGAGATCATTGAATGATTGGCATTACATATCTATAACTTATAAAGAGAATAAAATTAGTATATCATTAACTTTTCCATAAAATCCTTAAGAAAATATTGTGAATATAGTGAGATAAGTTTATATGTATTCAGATACAAACTAAACAATATTTTTAGGAGGATATATAAAAGATTAAAAATATTATTACAGTAATACAAAAGGATAGTTCAATTAATTAAGATATTATTCTAGATTGGGAAGTACATTTCCTTTAATTAGAACATGCCATATGAGTTGTTTAACATGTTTTGGTCCTTATTCAAATTAATGTTTAAGTTGTTAAGAATCTAAAAATAGAGAATATTTCGTTAAAACTAATTAATGTTTATGTAAGATTGGGTATGAAGAAGTTGGAATTAGTTTATGTGAAGATTAATTTCCTGAAAAAGATGAAAGAATTATCCCATTATCAAATAAGATAGGATATGATAAAGAATATCCAAATGTAGTCTGTTCATTTGGTTATTTTAAATATGAGAATGTTTGTTATAAATGGTAATTAATATGAAAATAATAGTCCATAAGTAAATAAGAAATATCCTTGTTTTTAATGTATAGCTAATCCAAATACTTGGGTGTTTGAACCAAAATGTCTAAAAACTTAAGTATAGGCAGATATTAATGATGACAATTCTCCATTTGTGCCTAATGATAACATTATTTCAATGTTATTTTTTTAGGATGACTAATACGATGTTTATGTATTTCAAGATTTAGAATTAATTTTATGTGAATATTGTAAAGAATTATGTTTAATTTTACCATTCAATAAAGAATGCAAATTATCATAATATGAACATTTAGAAAAGCCAACATTCATCATATGTTAATTAACTACTAATTTCATTGATGGAAAATGTAAAAGTCCAATAGTACTTTGTATTACTGATATCCTTTATTTTAGAGAGTATATTTGTAATTCTTATTTTATTAATTCAATCACAATTTAAAATTGTTTGAGTTATAGAAGAGATTAATGTTCAAAATGTATGGATGGTTATTTTTAATCTTATGATTCATATTAATGTTTACCTTGTAGAATAGATAAATGTAAATTTTGTTTTGAATATTATCGAGAAAATACCTATTATATGTCCATAATTAATTCTAATAACTAAATTAATAGAGAAGATTTAATAATAGGTTGTGCCTTATGTTATGAAGGTTATTAATTTAATTTTATTATTGGAGAATGTGAAATCATCTTAATAAAAAATAATAATTGTTTGAAATAATATATTGATTTTAATAGTAATATAATTTGTTATGAAACAAATACAGATGACTTTTCTAAAGGAACCTTAATTCATAATTGTCAATTCTATTTATATAACTGCAATAAATGTATTCAACCAATACCGAATTAATATTATTGCACTGAATGTTAAAGTGGATATTATTTAAGTAGAAAAACAGGGATTTGTTATAAATGTTCAAGTTATGATGACCTTTTTGTAGAATGTAAAACTGAATATTCTTTTTAAAAAGATCAAATTTTATAATAGACATTAGGATTTACTTTCGAATTCTCAAGAATATATCCATTAAATCTATTATCTAATGACATAAGTGAAACGATTTATCCATTATCTTGTATTGATGGTTATATACCAATGTCAAATAGTTGTACATAAGGCAATAAAGTACTTTGTTATTAATTTGATAAATCATGTGTCTAATGTGAATCTAATTAATATGGTACAAGAAGATTAACAGTTATGAATATGACATGTCAAGAATGTCCTTTCTATTGTGAATATTGTTAAATTAGAACCTAATCAATTTAATAATTAAATCCATATTACAATTCTAGTAAAACATTCTATGGTTATTAATGTCTACAATAAAGTAATAGAGAGTCACTCTTTATTGATAATTTCTATGGCCATGTAAGGCCATGTAATTCTACAATTCCCAAATGCCAAACTTAAATTACATTTGTATAGAAATTATCATAACTTTTTAGATATCCTCTACCTTATCAGATTTTAAAGATTACATATTTCTTGTTGTAGATACTTAACTTGAGTATATGACTTTAAAAGCTGTCACTATTTTAACATATTAACTTAATGTTACCAATCATATTATCTTTACTTAGTCTTTTGTCTAATTTGAAATATTCACTAATAGTTATGTTTATTAAATACTCACCTTATAATAAGCTGAAATCATTTTTAATGGTTATGGTTTATCTAATTAATAAACTATTTCCTTTGGATTACTCTTATTTCAGAGCATGTAAAAATTAGTCATCTAAAATTTATAATTAAATTTCTCTATTTATCATAACTCAACCATTAAGACTCTTAATATTGATTCCTTCTAATTTTATTTAAATAATGTGACTATAATGGATTCCTATTTAAAACCTCCTCTAAATTATGATTTAAATTTAATTGAACCTGATACCAATCAATTTGGAAGAGCATATCAAATTTTTATCTAAAATCCTTAAATCATATCTATCATTAATGTCATCATTTACAATATGACTCTGCTCAATACCACATTTATTAATCTATTCAATTCTAATAATGTCAATTTAGATCAAATACTTATTTACAATCTAACCCTCATCGATTGTTCCTTTATTAATACTAATTTTCTTACACTCTTTCCAAATATTCAATATCAACATATTACTATCACTCTATTGTAAATTTTAAATTGTACATTTTTAAATGCCTCTATCCTATATTTTACTGATTTCTATTATAAAGGAACTTTTAACATTAGAGATGTATTATTCTAAAATTCAATCTTCATCAATTCCATCTTGATAAATTTACCTTAATCAAATTCAACCTTTATTAGTAACTTTACTTATCAACATTGTAAATTTTAAAATTCATCAGGTTTATAAATCAGATCAAGTTCCACTATTAAGTTTATTAAGATATCCAATTGTGAATTCTATTAATCCTCCTTAATTTCATCTAGCCTTTATGGCTCTAATGAAATCTAATTATCTTTCGATTCAATTATATTTTCAACAATTAAAATTTAGGATTCTAATCTCGTTGAAATAATTAACAATAATTAAATCTTTTACATTATTTCAAACATAGATATTAAAGGTATCATTGCATAAAATTTATACTTAAACACTTTAGAGAAAGTATTTTATTGTTAAGGTTACTCTTTTAAATTAACAAATGTTACAATGTTTAGATTCAGTGGTATAATTGAGTTTTAATTGGATAATTTCTAAATTGTAGAATTATTACATCTTATAGCTGATTCAAACATGGAGCAAACCGTAAATTAAATTTTTTATGTCAGTGCCTCTTCTTTGATAATTAATGATTTCATTATAAGAAATCAAATATCAGATGATACATTATTCATTTCAATATTCGAAGGGATTAATAATTAAGTAAATTATAAGGAAATAACTCATCTATACATAAACAATATACAAATGAAAAAAACAAAATTTAAATTCTCTTCCTCCATAATCTAGATTTCTTCATAAATTGATTAAAAAGTACTTATCTACAATTCATTATTTGTTGACATTTGGTAAAATTAAGAATTACAAGATCCAGAAATCAGCACAGCTAGTCTCATTATTCTAAATGTACCATAGAGTTCTGTTCTAATACAAAACTTGACAATACATAATTGTCTTATTTCAAATGCAACAGATTCATTAATATTAATTAATTCCAAATCTTTAAATATAGATTAATTTTTTGCAGATATGATAAATAAAATAGAATTTTATCTAAAGGAAATAAAAACAGAAACAGATTTTACCTTAATTAAACAAATGTCATATGGGGGATTAGCTTATATTCAAGTTTAAGAGTTAACTATTAAAAACTCTAAGTTTTATAATTCAGTTGGATATTATGGAGGAGTCTTTTACATACTCACAAAATTTAATGGAATTGTTAATCTATTTCAATTAAAATTCGAAAATATTTCTACATTCTAAAGTCCTTACACTTTAGGTATGGGTGGATGCTTTTATATTGATTCACAATACTCATACTTATAATTAAACATGTTTGATATACTTGTTACTAATTCTAGTTCTAATTACATAGGAGGATATATTTATATTAAACCTTCCATGTATCAAAATATCATCAATTTATAAAATCTTTAATTTATAAATGTCTTTTCCTAATCATAATCAATAATTTCATTCATTTCAATTTATTATCAGTAAAATAATTCAACCATATATTTGAATAATATTACTATAATAAATGATTTGGATTGTTATCAAAAATACTTAGAATTCTATAGTCTAATCAATCATGAAAGCGAGTATGGTTTTATTACAATTTTAGGAAAGTAATTCTATGTTATTATTTTATAGTTTAATATCAATAAACAGATTAATATGTGAAGGATATTTTTAAGAATCTATTTTACATATTGAATTTTCAAAATCTTTGAAGTTATTTAAAGCAAGTGTATTTAATTCTTAGTTTGACTCTTAAAATTTATTATATATTAAAGATATCAGTTAAGATACACCTACATAAATTCATGTAGCATAATTGTCATATTTCAATATAATAGATACAAATTAATTATAAAATAAAACAACTCTAATAGGATTTATCTTATCAAGTAAATGCATATAAGCTTAATTTGAAAATATTAATATTTACAATGTAATTTGTTAGAGTTGTTAAAGTGGTGTTTTATCAGTAATTATAAATTCATTGATTAAAGAAACAAAAGTATTATTTTAGTAAATAATATTTAATAACAACATCTGTGGTTTCAATGGATGTTTAAACATTTTATCTAATCCAAGTGTAATAAAATAGTTGATTATTGTAAAGAAAAGTAAATTTATCAAAAATATTGCAAAATTTGGAGGAGCAATTTACATGAATAATCTACAAGCTTAAATTAAGACTACTTTATTTTTATAAAATAAAGCTAATGATTCAGGAGGAGCAATCTTTTATTAGAGTTAATACGATATTTATTTAGAGAAATGCTATTTTTATAAAAATAAAGCTTCAGCAGGAGGTGCTTTATTCTTAGGATAAAATTCTCATATACAAAATAAAAGTAAACTTTAATTCTCTTAGAATTCAGCAACATAATTTGCTAATAATATAGCAGAATAACCTTAGTTCCTGTAATTAATCGTAAATGATTAATAAATTTCCAATAATAGATAGAAATAAGGATAAAAAGTAATTGATTAGCCAATGTTGAAATAAAGCCTCTATTTTCCCACAGGAATAAAATTATCAGAATATGAATACTTTAATTATACATCAAGATTATTTAGTTCTATATAATATACAATTTATTTGAAGGCTTATAATCATATAAAAGAAGAGATAATATTTTTAGATGAAACTTATTGTCAAATCACTTATGGAAGTTAAGAAACTTTGAATCTGAATTCTTAAAAAGAGAGTTTATTCTCTCTATATTAGATAGTTGTATTTAATTCAACAAAACAATATTATGATTTAAACGAACTATTAATCATTCATGATCCATATGATGAATAAATATCTCTAATGCTTGACATTTAATGTACATGTATTTTAGAAGAATATCGACTATAATTTTCAATTTAAACTTTAAAATGTTAAATTGGTGAATATTATAATGAAGGTTCTTGTATAAGATGTAATGCAGCAGCAGGATACTATTCAGTAATATATAATAGTAGATCTTGTAAAAGAATCGATATTAAATTAATCAATTAAACAAATGGAGCAATGCTTTAATTATAATAATCCTTTTGGAGACCTAATTTAAGATCTGATTAAATTGAAAAGTGTTAAAAATTTCCATCGAAATGTTTAGGTGGTTGGTTTCCAGGTGACTTTTCATGTACAATTGGAAGTATAGGAGCATTATGTGAGGCATGTGATATTTATAATATTAGAGGAGATGGATAATTTTTAAATTCTGGATAAACATAATGTAGCATATGTGGCTATCTAAGTATTTAAATTATGCTCTTATTGATTTCATCATTTTGGTATACTTTGTATTTCATATTAGGACTGCCTTTTTAATTATTATGACAGTTTAAAGTACACATAATTCTCTTTAAAAATTAGCTTAATTAAAAGTTGTTTATTTAAAATATCAGACTTTGTATACTTTTAGTTTAGATCAAACAAGTATATTGATTAAAATGAGTAACAACTACTTTCAAATTCTAATGGTAATAAATAGTTTTTAAATTGATTTCTTTAATAATCTAAGAGATGCTTTATATTTTCTTGGAGAAGCTTCTAATTTTGTTACCTATTAAATTGATTGTACTTCATCTGAAATAATATAAATACCTATCATTTATAGTCATTTCATTATGATTCTACTAATACCCTTTTTTAACTTTGCTTTGTCTACGATCATCTATTGCTTTTCAGTCATGACTAAAATTTTAAGGTTTTCATAAACATTTATTTTTACCACCATTATTTATCTTTATATCTATAATCAACAATCAATTTTGAATTGGTATTTATTTATATACTAATTCTTAGGGGAACCTCTTTAATTTCAAAAAGGTAAATCTCTGGAGATGACTATATTTTAGCTTCAGTTTATTATTTCTATAATACTCAAGAACATTATAATTGGCTTTTCAAATTTGTTATACCAATAATTGCCTTTTTAGGAATAATCATTCCTTTATTATTATTTTATTATCTGTATCACCACAGAGATAACTTATATAATAAGAATTCCAGAAAAGTCTTATCATATTTAGTTAATGAATATAGTGATAAGTCATATTATTGGGAACTCATTAAAATTGTCCAAAAATTGCTCATTATAATAATTATCAACTTCTTAGAATAGTAAGTCTTAATCAAAGGCATTCTCATATATATAATTATCATTCTATATTATTAGTTCCTAATCAAATTCAAACCATACAGATAATCCTAATTTAATGTCTTAGAATAAACTATTTCATATCATGTTGCAATGACTATACTGCTATCTTTACTTTTATATCAAATTCAAACTTTAGAAGTCAAATATTTCTAAATATCCTTGATTATTCTTATTCTATATTTGATTTTTAAATTAATCTGGATACTCATTGGAAAAATATTCATTGCTTTCTTTAAAAGATTGGATGAAAAATTTGATCCTATCAGAGCAATTATTTTAATCAGATTTCCTGGCATTTGTAAAATCTTTCCATCACTCAAAAAAATTTTTATGTTGAGAAAACTATAAAAATAAAGAATTTTGGAAAGATTTTGTAAAATTAAAACTTATTTGAAACTTAAAAGTATTAAATTACAATATAAAGATTAAACGAGAGAATAAACTAAACCAAGAGAGAACAAATCATTGCTTTTGATTTCCTAAAATAGAAACACCTTTATAAGTATTGAAAAAATGTTAACAACTCTTGGAAATGAAACTTTAAAATGAATGACTATTTTTTTATTTGATTTTTTGATAAATTTATTTATATTCGTCAAAATTACTCTATTATTTTAGAAAGGTTACAAAAAATTTATTGATTAATCTATTAAATATTTTAATAGAATTTAAATTTTTAAGTTAAATAGAATATATTTTATAACAGAAATCTGATGATTATAGTATAAAAAGTAGAGATGATTATATAATCTTTAAAAATTTAATTCTATTAGAAAAATAATTTTAGAACATGTGTTATTAAATTATACTTATATGAAATATTAAAATAAAAACTATCTTATCTCATATTATTAATAGACCATCAATATTTCTACTAAAATTCTGATGGCACTTATTTTCTAAAGAGTCTAAGAAATTTTAAACTTCATTATATAAGTTTTCCAATTCATGATCATTAGGATTATCGTTTCTCTTAAATATTTTTTGAACAAAAGAAATAATTTTTAATCCTTTCTGATAGTGAATAAGAAATTCTGAATCTAAGGAGATTTAACAAAAAAATTTTATTAAGGTATACTTAGTGCATTTAATTTATGGTGAATTACAAATTCTATTATGAATTAAGTGAAATTATTCTTTAAAGTTATTTCTTACATATTCCTTTGATTGGATGTTATAATCTTTATCTTCAATATTTTATTTTGGAAATAATTATAAAAACCTTTGTTTTAGTTATTCCTTACATTATTTCTTTATTTAGACATTTTCATACCAAGTCCTTAATTATTTTGATATATTAACAGTCTTCGTGATTTTATTGTCTTCAATTAACAATCCATCAAGTTATTCCCCATTATTTTCATTAACCTCATATTCATAGACTGTAAAATTGGAATTTTAATTTAATATATTTGCAATATAAGCAATCATGTCTTCCTCCCATTTATTTTAATTACGATTGAGGAATTTATTAAATATAAATTGTTTCTCCTTAAACTTAGGAATGGAGAATAAAATTGTGGATTCTTTAAAATTCATCATATGCAGAATCTAAAAATTTCTATATTAAAATTTTTTCTACTTTTTTAATAAAAATTTTATTCTATTAGGATATTTATTAGATTATTAGCCACCTATTTATTATTATTTTTTAATTTTCTTTCAAAAATCATACAAAACAAACAAAATCTGAAAAAAAAAATCATTTTTTTTTTTTTATGATCTATTTCTTACTATATATTCGAGAGATTAATACCATGATTGTTGATTTTCTTTATTCATTCTGAATTAAGTATGAATTAATTAGGATTTACATAGAGCAGGGGTTTAAAAATTTTGGATGAACTTAATGAATTTATTAAGAATTAGTTGTTTCTAATCAGTTAACTCTCTCTATTTAAAATAAAAGGTTGTTTTTCGATAATTCTTTAGTTATAATTTGTTAACTTATTGTTTAAGTAATAAAATATATGTTAATATTATTAATGAAAATAGTAATAAATAAAATATCATAAACTGGTTCAAAAAATATCTCTTTCTTTTTATAATTACATATGTTTCACAATTTCTCTTTTTTAATTTACACTCTCTTTTAATGTTATCATAATTAAATTAGAAATTTCCTAGGTGTTTAATAAATTTATACTTTGATTTCATGTTAAAAATGTAATGCATATTGAGATGCAAAACAATTCCAATTGATTTATATATTTAGCATGATAGCACTAGTATAAAGAGAAGCACAAGCAATTTTAGATGGTTCATATTTGATTATATTAATATTATAAACAGCAACATCTAAAAGTAAGAGAGAATAAGTAAGCCAATTAGTAGATTTTTCAGTAATATTAATAATGGTCCAATAATAGTTTAACCAAACATATGAGGATGCTGTAACTAATTTAAAATCTAGGATGGATAATAATTCTTTTTCAATTTAAAATATATCTTGCATTTCATCTCTATCATGTGTATATCTCCACAATGGACTAGGATAAATCTATTCGAAGAGAGTAAAAATACTTCTTCATATTTTGAAGCAATAAAATAACAAGTTTTATATATGGAATCAATTTGAGCGGTAAATATTCTATTTGTACTTAAATACACATCTAGTAAATAAATGGTTTAATGAAATGTTCTTCTTTAAGCCTTATGTGCAGTACAAAGCTTATGAATTTCATCTATCTAGAAGTGTTATATCGAAATAAATACCATTTAAGCTCTCATCTCTGGATTCAGATCAGATTGAATATCTAGAAAATAGTTTGGATTAAGAAAAGACATGTTGACATTCTAAAATGATTAGTATACAATATTAACCTGTTATGTTTGGAGAGCAAAAAAGATCTGCTTGATATAGAGCAAAACTTATTATGGATCATGAGTGTGTTTTGATTCTTTTCTCTTGAAAGTATTAGATTAGTTAACATAGTAATTAGAGCGATCTGTAAATGGTCTTATCATTTTTTAGATGTACTCCATTAAATAATTTAATGATTAATAAAGCAGGAAAAGAATTAACTTGGTTATTTGCTTTAAAAATCTTATCAAGATTATTTGATTTGACTTTAAATATATTAGTCTTAAGAGATTTAGAACCAGGAATATATGGTATGTTAATTAATTAATATTTAGAGGACTTACAACTAACTTGGATTTATTGACAAATGTAACCCTCTTCTATTTAAAGATTGTGTTAAAATAGACATATTCAAGACTTAAAGATCCTAATTAAGAACAGACTTAATCAGCTGTCAATTTAATGTACTTTGGATTACTAATTACAATCTGTATTTCACCAATCACAGTTTTTGTTATGAGTTACAATTAAAGTGTTAACTTTGCAAAGACAGCATTTCTATATGGAATATCTGCAAGTAATTATATATATTAGTTTAGTAATTGATGGAGCATCTGAACCATATGCTGTATAATGGATAATACAATTAAAATTGAATGTAATAGCAAAAGCAGAAGGTTTGGCAGTTTTTATAAAAACAATTGTACTCTATATACTTTTAGGAAAATATACACGTGAAATATTTTAGATTGAAACTTTGATAGGATTTGGAATAGCTTAGGTTATTTATTCAATAATTGTTTTTGTTTATATCTTCTCACTTTCAACTAAAACAAAACCTAAATTGTTAAATGAAGAAGGAGTATATGTTGTAAGTGAGATGAAATAAATAGGATATCAATTTACATTAATGGCTTTTATGAAATTTTTGTTGTAAGAATTAGAGAAAATAGTAATGGTCATTTACAATAATCCTATTATATCAGGAGAATTTACATTGGTTAGTCATATAGGTTCAATAATACCTAGATTTATTTATGTAAATATAGAATAGATAGCATACAATTTATTCCCAAAGATAAGTTAAGATGAATAATAATAATTATTATAAAAATACTTAAGATTTTTGAATTTGATTGGAATAAGTATAGTGAGTGCAGGAATTCCTTGTGCATCTGCATTTCTTTAAATTTATGGTACTTAATGGACTGCTGATTCATGTGTTTTGGCAATGTAATTGTATTGTATATACATTTGGATAATGGGTATAAATGGCATTACAGAGAGTTATGTGAATTCGACAATAGCAACAAAAGATATGGGATGGTACAGATATTTGCTTATTGCTCAAACAATTATATATAGGTATTAAATTGTACTATTTTTAAAGTTTATCATTAGTAATAATGGTTTAATTGGGATCTTCAGGAATAATTATATCTAATATACTATCAATGTCTGTTAGAATATTTGTATCATTTCTGATAATTCATAAATCAGGAATATAAATCTAATGGTCAAGAATATTACCTAAATTTTGGATCCTCTATATATGTGGGTTCTTATTATAATATTTGACTCAAGGATTTTAATTATTAATATTGACAGCAATTTATTATGGAATTCTCGGTTTGGTAAATTTAAGAACAGTCATTGATGTAATAAAGAGTAATTGAACTTTTTTGATATTATGGTTATAAATAAACACAAAATATAATATATGCTTGAATGACCAACACTATTATCATCAATGAGGAATGAGGATTCTTCCATATATAAAATTAATGATCATTACAAGAATAATCCATAGGTACCATACATCCAGCATTTCTGATGGCAAAAAATCATAAGCCATCAAATTCTCATACATTTCCTGCATTTTAAGCTTCTCCATTTTTATTTCCTGCAATAGTTCAGGCTCTCTAAGGTACAATTGTATGTAAACTTATGTTATATATAAATATGTATTAAGCCTATCTCATTTTATAAATTATTCAACCAAAAGAATTTTTCTGTAATAGTATACACATAAACATCTCTACTTATTTAGTTGGATAACAATAGATTGTAACAATTCTCACAAATATATATAAATTCATTTTCGATTATGTAAATATATTTTTCTCTTTTTATTCTCTTTTAATTACTTAATAACAAATCTATTATTTTTATTTCATAATAAAAATAACTACATCAATTGAAAATACTATTTATTATATAATCATAACAATGTTTGCATCGATGAACAACCTTTCATTTTTGTACTTTGTTATCTCTTAAGTATTCTAGCTTATATAATGTCTGCTTATTGATTTAAATCCTATCTAACTTTTTAATCTGTACTTTTGGTATTGGTAGTGAAATCTGTCACCATTGTATTCAGTATTTAAGCTTGGATGAATATTTCAAGATTGTACAATGTTAATCTGCAGCTTCATGAAGCTTAATTTATAATGTGACTTATTTGGATCTAAGTTTCTTATCCACGATTTATTAATCAGATAATAAAGGTGGGGGTAAGTCAGAAATGGATGATCTCTTAATTGGGCTTATGGTTTTGGAAGATTCAACTTCAGATTTAGAATTCATAATTAGCATAAGAGTTTTAGTTTCACTTAAGGCATTTTGAATTTTATCTAAAAAATAGTATTTTATTGGATCTTAAATGTTATCAAAATATTCCACACACTTTCTATTGAATAAAAATGTATATTAATTACCTATACATAGCTAGAGCCTGTTATACAGTATCAAGTTGTGGTTCTTTGATTATAGTCTTCTCAATGGCAATGAGATTATAGTAGAATTGCTTATCAAAGGTGTTTTCTTAAGTAGAAAGAGACTTTTCATTGTTAGATTACCTCATAATTTGATAATTATAAATAATTTTAACATTTTTGATCATTTTCTCTCATTTACTAAAAAAAGTTAGATTATTTTATAGTATGGTCATCTCATCCTTTTAAATTTTGTAAAGGTCTTACAATTCTTTGCCAATGGGTTTAGAAATTTGTTTATAAGAGGATAAGGTATTCTTGATGTGTTAGATCATAAACTATTTGACCAACATTTCATTTTCTTCACTAATTTTTGATAGAAATGAATTGAATTCTAGATGTGGATTAATAGAAAATTCTTATTCTGTAAGAAAATAGATTCTCAGATACCTAGAAATAGATATAAATAAAATTTACTGCAATAGTTGAACATTAATTTTGTTATTATACAAGATTTATCTTTCAATGTTAGTGATTTCACTTTATCTGAGCCATTTTTATTTTTATTCAAAAAGTTATTCAGTGAAATTAATAGCAGAAGTGAAATCTAGATCGATAGGCATTTCATTAAATGGATTATCATCAACAATAATACCATGTCTCATTAATAAATCATGGTTACTTAAGTTACCATAATTGATAGTTAATTTCTAAAAAGTAAATAAATAAATTACATCTCCAGGTTCAATAAGTTTTTTAGCAGTGAAATCAACAAAACTCATATTTTCATGGCTTAAATAGCAGCCATCTAAATAACAATTAGGATCAAATGAATGTTGAAATTAGTAGACTAACGGTGATACTATCTAAACAGATTACATATCAAAGTATTTAGGTTTTCTAGATAGAAATTAAATTAATAATATTACTATGGATTGAAACATATTAACTAAGATCTGACTGCTTGAAATAGTTTTAAAAAATCAAGAGCAGTCAATCCATAAACTTTGCTTAATTGTAATTCATTATACATTGATTAACATTAAAGAAGAGTACCTTCAATAAGATTAGCTAAATTCCTAGAAGAAATGAGATCTATCACAGTTTAAGGCCATAACAAAGGAGTGTTAGGAGATTAAATCATATTTGCAAATGGAGAGTTCGTTAATGATTGATCTTTTTAATGTACAAATATTTGCATAATAATTTTAAGTAATCCTGTGACCAAATATTGCTATTCCACTTTTTCACCACATATTTTGTGAGCAATTTATGATGCTATGGTCTAATTAATTTGCGACTACATACCTGAAGTTCTTATGATTTTCTTGTATCACAACCTACAAATTCTACACTTGTAAAACATTTCTCAGTTGAAATAAGCATTATTTATTGATTTGCCTTTATTTTTTAAGCTGCATACATTCCTCCTCTATAATCAATAGATTGCATCACTCTTAAATAAGAAGGAGGTATTCTTAACCATTTCAAATATTATTGACCAAATAAACTACCGTAACTTGATGTTAGCCCAGCTATTAATTTCTCTTACATTTATTAAATTATATATATATATATATATTAATTATATAATATATATATATATATTAATTATATAATATATATATATATACAATTTATTCATAAATACCAATGCATTTCTTGATAATTACATAATATATCTCAAATATATTTATTACAACCTAATTCGTTTATATTTTTATGTTCATTTTTCTCTTATTCTTACTTCAATCTCTTATTCTCACATTTTCTCAATCTTTTTTCCCTTCTCATAACTTAACTTCTATATTGATTACTTTACTTCAACCTTCTCAATATTTATTAAATTTCTCTCTTTAATTATTTGATTCTATCCTTCTCTTACTCTCCTCTTCCTTCTCTTTATTTGAATTCTAATTCTCTTTTCTTTTTCAACTTCCCAATCTCTAATCAAACATATATTCAAAAAATTATGAGTTAACTAATTGTTAAACAAATATATATGAGAATTAATAATCAATTGAAATATGAGTGGACTCTTTATACAAATTTCGATAACAAATCTGTTATTTCTGGAAAAAAGTTCAATTCATCTATGATTTAAGTTATATCTCTACACTCTACTCTTTCGCTCTCACGTTTACAGTTCAGACTACTATACTCACTAATAATCTATAAATTCATATATATACCTTCCTAATATTTAATCCCATCGAAATCGAAGTTATTTATAATATCTATTCTTTATTGCATTTTAGTTCCTATCTGTAAAGTATTTTGCTATATTTCCAAACTTTGGGCCATGCTCTAAAACTAAACATAAGATTTTTTTGTCTTCCTCAAAGTTAAATGGATTATTATTATTCGTCTCACTCATTTTGTTATTTCTTCTCCTCTTTTTAGAATGAAAATCCACTCGTTTCTTCTTCTTTATCTTTTTACCCTATTGCTTTATTGGATTAATATCTGAATCCAATATCTCTGTTAAAGTAGGATTCTCATTATTCAAGTTAATTAACGAAGAAGAGTTTTCATCATTAGACCCCATATCCCTCTCTAATTATAGGAAGTTGATGTAATTTTATTCTTCTGCACAATCTTACATTAAATTTAATATGAAATTAGCTCTTTACTGCATCGGCATATATACTATTCAAAAATATAAAATCTTTTTTTATTTGCATATATTAATACAGTCTTTAGTATTATTTCTAATTTAATTGAATATCGTTCAGTTGGTAAAGATATTTTTTCTCGTTTAATTAGTATATAATAACATTCTGATATAAGGTATTTTATTCCATATTTCCAATTTAATCATCTATATCAATAAAATCACTCTCCTTAATTGGTTTTTATCTATTCCATTAACATTTATACAACTCTTTAACTAAATATTTCACTAAACCTTTTTCTCTTTTGTCTTTCTACACAATTATATTTCCAAAATTTTCCAAAAGCCAAAAATTTTTTAAGGGACAAAACATATCATATTAATATATATTTTTTTCATATATTCATTATTTAATTTATTTTTTCTTCAACATTGACTTACTTCCTTTTTTGTAATATTTGATACTCTTAAATTTTACTTTTTCACAATACATAACTTTATTATTTTAAATTATTTAAACTTTATAAAATATCTTCCCTTTCTAAACTAATATTTTTTTTCCATTAAAAAACTTTACAGAGACAAAGAAAAAAAAATTAATTAGGAAAATTCGTATATAAAGACGAAATCAATATACTTCTTAGTTTATTCAGGAATTAAATCCTAATTAATAAACAATATTTTGATTTTTTTCAATTACATTATTTTGAAATCATAGGGAAATGCTATTGGAAAATAAAAATGTGATATTTATTTAGATTCTAGATAAAAACAATAAATATTTAAATTTATCTGAAATATTAAAATTTAATAAACATATATAACCTCTTATTTCTGTTCAAAAGAAAATATATAGAATGTTAAAAGGATCAACATATTAATTAGAGAAGAAATTTATTTAGATTCTAGAAAAAAATAAATTTATTATATATTTGAAATATAATATAATCTCTTTTGGTCTTAAATTTTTGATGTTTTCCAATAAAAATTTATAGGGTATTAAGTGCAATAAAAATGGTTTAGAGAAGAAATTTATTTAGATTCTAGAGAAAATAAATTTAATTATTTAAATTTATCTGAAATATAATTTTTATAATGCATAAATATAATCTCTGTTTATCATAGATTTGTAATGATTTTATTTTCATAATTTAAAGGATTAACAACAAATAAGTACCTTATCGAGAATTTCTAAAAAATTATATAAATAAAAATAGGTTAATTGACAAAAAGAGTTTGGTGAGGATATCTGTTGATTTGTATGAAAGTAAAGAATATCTGTTAGGAATTTAGGAGAGTAATAAAATATAATATATATTATTAATTAAATATGAATTAAACTGCACCTGTTCTCACTATATAAAAAAGAAGTTACTTATTAAAAGCTTGTTTGGCATCTTTGTTTGGAGGACATGAATTAAATCTATCTTCAAATCTCTATATAATACATGTAGAATTAAATTTAAGAAGTAGGTGATTATATAACTAATAAGTGTAATTCAAACTTACATAATTGGAAAATTTGTGGATAATTACGCCATTGTTTTGATAGTACCTGCTAGCATCAATACGATACTTTAGATAAGCATGAATTGCTTTATAAGTGAAGAGCATCGGAAGACTAGATCTTAAATTGGATAATAAATAGGAATACTGATTCCTCAAAGTTTAGGAACTGCTTCAGCAATAAAATATGATGGGAATATTTTAGATGCGATAGTGTTTTTTTTCTTGTTTCCTCGAGATTAAAATATTGAACTAGGATTCAATCAAATGGAGAAGTATTCTCGATCTAGATATGCTTGTTTATTTTTAAAATTGATATTGATCTTGACTCATGCAAACAGAATGATTATAGCAAATATAATCAGATACATATACTATTTCACACCTATTCTGATTTGGATGGGTTTATATGGACAGTTTTCTTAATTGTATGTAAATTTGAGAATTGAATTAGTTTGGAATATGTTGGAGAGCAATTCAATTTTTTAATGGGATCATCATATTAATCAAGTTCAAAACGAACATATTTGACAGTATTATTGAATGTAGCATTGATTGCAATTTGTTTAGGATTGTCATACTTAGAAGATAGTAGAATAGCAATAATTATAAGTGGTTGTTTAATAAATGTAAAATTGTTTAATATTTTTGGATCGATGCCAAAAGATTAGAGATAAATTTATAAACCTAGTTATCTTAATAGGCCATATATGTTTTATAATCTTTTAAGTTCATTAGTGAATATAATTGGAATTATTTTATGTGGAATATTGGCATCATCTTATTATCGATAACTTTATTATGCTATAATTCCAATATATTCATGTTACTTTATATTATAATTAAGATAGAAATATTTAGTAAAATAATTTAAAATATTTTATGCAATGATTGAATGTGCTTGTATATCTATGATGGATTATAAATTTGAAGGTATTTTTGCTTAAAGATTATTTGAATGTTCAACGATAATAAGATTATACAGTCTTATTCATTCAAATCCAAATTATTTATTTTTTGAATAATTAGTTTGTTTTGGAATTTCATTTAATTCAGATTATTCTATGGCTTAATGTTAGTTGATTGGATTCTTGGTACAATTAGGTTTAAGATTCTTAATAAGAATGAAATCTCGTATGTTGATTTGGATGATTGCAAAGTAAATATAAATATAAGTAGATTAGTTAAAAGATGTTGACAGTAAAGAAATAGAAAGTAGAGGGAGCAATATTAATTACAACTTTATAACTATTAATGTGTCCATTAACATTTTTGATAATGATAATTTCAAGTATATTGGATAGTCCTTACATGCCATTTTTAGGATTACCTATATTTTATTTTGGATCTTTAAGACCATTTAGAAATGTAACTCAAATCTAAAAGAATATAGCGAGTTCTTCAGAGGGATCCATCTATAATTCTTTTTTAAGTAAAGCTTATGATAGATTATTGAATTCTTAACCTTTATGGAGTCATTATCTAATAAGAATAGGCAAGTATTTGGGAATTATGCAATTATTAGAATATTAAGGAGGATATGCAGTAATCTAATTTAAGGGTTTAGAATCATAAGAAACAACAAGTTGTCATGGAATTGAAGCTAGAGAAGTTGATAGATTAATGGATGCAAATGATTGTGGATCATATATTGGAAGTGCTCTTACATATTAAGATGAATTTTAAGTATCAAGTTATGAAGAAAATTAAATTATTTTAACAGGCATTATAGAGGCAACTGAATTTGTTAGTGGATTTAAGAAAATATATTTAAAAATGTTATGTTATTATGCTTAAGAATTATAGGAGAATAATTAAAAATCAATTTAAGAATTATCTAAAAGATATGATGGATCTGAGAATCAATTTCCAAACTTATTTGGAGATTTAATTAAATTACCAAATAAATTTTAATAATTTAAAAATGAATAAATAGATTAATAAACGGAAATTAAAATATAAATAAAACCATAGCCAAAAATTTAAATAAAACATGATGATGATGACATAATGGGAATGTTAGATGATTTGACAAAAGATATTCCATAATAAACTAAAAAATTACATTAATAAAGTAATTCATCAAATAAGGCTAATAATAATGGAGGAGGGTTTTATACACATGTTTAGAGAGCTATATTATATATTTATTAAATATCATTGGGTGATTTGGATTTTAATTTTGAAAGTAGATTAAATTAGAAGGGATTGTTTACACTATTTCAAAGTTCAAAAACTCTGTCTGAATAACGATAAATGAATGGAGTGGATTTAATTTTATCAGAAATAGCTACAAAGGCAATTAGAAGTGCATTAAAATTGAGTTTAGATTTTTATTCAATAGAGGGTCATTTGATTATAGATGATTCTGAACTATTATAGGAATTGAATGGAATGAGTGATTGTTATGTAGGAATGGGAAGTGATGAAGGTTGGTAAAAAGCTATGTAAAGCAATTTACTATTGTGGACTTTAGGTTATGAAGTTGGAAAGAATAAACTTACAGTGTATAGAAATTCATATACTAATATAAAATGTTAAATATTCAGATTTGATAGCGAAGTAATTAGAGGGATTGAAGCCAATCTTTAAATGGAATTACTGTTTGTTACTAACAACGATGAAGAACGGTAATCACAACTTAATTATTTTTAGATATTCTATTTAAACACATGAATAGTTCTTTAGAAATATGATCATTGAAGGCTCTGAGTTACCTTTAGGATATGCTCCCTTTTACTCTGGACCAGTAGTTATTAGTTTAAGATGATAAATTCTTTATTTATTTTATTATAATAATTTCTTTATTATGAATTAACAAAACTAAATTATGTATCAACAACAACAACAAATTCCTCCATAATAACATAGAGATTACAATGTTCCACCACCTGGTATAGATTACCTTCATTTTACATTTTAGGTTACCGAGCTCCACGTTATCCAAGAGAAGAATTACCTGAAAATTAAGAATAGAATCTAGATCTAGGAGGTTCCTATTAATCTTATCTCTATAATTGTGGAGAATGTTGTGGTAATTGCAAAGCTGTCTGTCCCTGTAACCCTTTTGTAGAATATCCATATGTTCAAGTTGAACAAAGTTTTGTTGGGGTCTATTTACGTTTTGGTAAATATATCAAGACAGGTATATAAACTATTAATTTAAGTTCAACCTGGATTAATCTACATCAATCCTTGTACAGATACAATTTAAAAAGTCGATTGTAAAGTTTAAATGATTGATTGTCCAAGATAGTAAGTTATGACTAAGGACAATATTTTAGTCAGCATTGATGCAACTGTTTATTATAGAATAGTTATACCAAGACGCTCCATATTTTATATCAATGATCTCCATTAGGCTGTTACATAATTGACATTAGCTACTATCAAAAGCATTGCAGGATCTCATACTTTGTAAGAATTATTAGAAAAAAGAGCAGAAGTTCAATAACAAATTGAAGCTTTTGTTGATGAGCATGTTTGGGAATGGGGAATCGATATTGAGAACATGTTGATTAAAGATATTTAATTAAATGCTGATTTATAGAATACTTTGTCAATGGCAGCAAAAGAATAAAGAGCAGCTTAAGCTAAGGTCATTTCTGCATAAGGAGATGTTTAATCAGCTAAACTCATGAGATAGGCTGCAGAACTTTTAGATTCTAAAGCAGCCATGTAAATTAGATATCTAGATACAATCACTACCTTAGGATAATAGGGATCCACTAAAGTAGTATTGCTTCCAACAGAATCTAAATGATTATGATATTATATAGAAAATAAATATATTCTATATAAATATAAATTTGGAATTATTTATTATAAATGTTAGTTTTTATAGGAATGGTCTTAGTTTAAACACAATAAGTGATTGATATAAGATTTTCAGAGATTTGTAATTGTTCATAATTAGTAAGTGAAAGTGATTGTTAAAGAGATCTTTATTGTTATTGGTTTAAGAACAAATGTGAAACAATTCCATGTGGTGATTTTAATAATACTAATTATATATGCTAAGCATCACGGAAATGCTATGTGAATTATAATAAATCAGATTGTTCTGATTTAACAATTAATTCTAATGATGAAGATATTTGTTCTCGTCTACTTTCAAATAGTTCACATTCATGTTATGATTAAAATGTTTGGTGCACCAATCAAACTGGTAGTGATTATTGTACATTATAATCATTGAGTCATTGTGAATCATTGACAACTTAATAAGCATGTTTTTACAATTTTGGTTATTGTGCTTGGAACTCTTAATCAAATAGTTGTACTATAGCAATATGTGAATAATTAAGTAATAATTAATGTGGATATTATCCATTTTATTGTATTTTACTTAATAATTAGTGTGTAAAAGCAAAATGTTCATCTTTGCCTGAATATTTTTGTAATTATATAATAACAGGAGTTGTTGAGAATGGTTATTAAATCCAGGTATGTTAATATAATAGTGAATTTGATCGATGTTAAGATGTGTCGACTAGTAATTTGGGTAGTGATACTTGTTATAAGAATACCTTACATACATATTATTGGAATAAAAATGAATGCTAAAAGTGCTATGATTATATTTTATTAATGATGAGTTTTATAATTTATTTATTATTTTGAATAAAAAGATGGTAATTCGATAATTAATTTCAAGTAGTTCATAATGCTTGGAGGAGTTACTCATAGATTAGAGATAGAATAAATTAAGAGAGTGCTGAGAGATTGAAGAATTTACCAACAAAAACTTAAGAGAAGATAACAAATTTTTGGATAATCGCTAATATAGATGCAGTCAAAATAACAACAAGAGAGAGAATATTATTTTATGCATTACATGATGGTACAACAACAATGGATTTTATACCTTAAGAGAGATAGAGAGGAATAATAATTAGATCTGTTGCATTTATCATTTAATTAAGCAAATCATAAATATATACACTGAGCATCTACATTTTACAGCTGAAATAGAAATTGAAAATAAGTAATATTTTTAGATGAAATTATTACAATCTTTGATTGAGCATCTAGTATGTATATACTATCAGAATTAGTTACAAGCAAATAAATTTCATATTCCAATGATTGCATTTTTTAATAAAATAGATCTATAAGGAGCTTTATTAGAATATATATTATAATTAATGAGTGATAGATTGAATATTAAACCTAAACCATTTATGTAGATAAAATTTATCAATTATTTTATAATCCAAATACTAGTATGAGAAATTTATATCATTTTAATTCAGTGATAGATTTACTAGAGTTTATTATAATGAAATGATTTAAAAATAAAATTATGCTAATAGCACAAAAGGAAGACCTTTATGATTTAAATTGAAATTATAGCCTACTGGATTATAAGAGAATGAAGTTTAATTTGAATTTGAAAGAAATAACAATCTCGATCATACTATAAAAATAATTCACAACGAAATATCTAATAAAATGAGACTTCTGTTAAATATATTAAAAATCCTTGTCAACAATTAATGATGATCATACAATTCTGAATGTTTTATCATCTAGAACTTCATTTAATAGAGGTTTCTTAAAATCTTATTAAATGCATGGCGTCAAAGCTACTATTCTAGATGGAGCTTTCTCTCTTAAAAGAACAAAATAAATTAATTATTGAAAGATTGTCTCTAATTTATGTAAATAATACATCCTATGCTTAAAGTAAATATTTATGGATCTTGAAATATTTTAGTATAATTTTACATCATAAAAAATTATTAGGAAGAAAAAACATTGAAATTAAATAAGATTAAAATAGATTTGGATCGTAAAAAAGTAATCAAGTCATCATTATTAACACTATAATTTCTTAAGAAACCATTATTGGATATTATACTGCCATTAAATCTATTTCTTAAGGAGAAGCTTATTTCAATTTGAGTTTCAAAAATTATGAATTTGTAGGTGACCAAAAATAAAGTGAACATATGACTGGAACCTTTTGAAAATTTAGCTTTTTATATATTTCATCCATTTTTATTGTTTATTTAAACAAAATGATCTTATTTTGGAGAATATTATATATTTTTAATAATTATCGTTATATTCAAAATATATATTATGAATATATATCATTATCATATACTTCTTCTAAATGTTCCATACTTTCCTTACTTTGTATTTAATCAATCTATACATTCAAATAACTATAAGCTCTATTAATCTAAAATATATAATTTACTGTCCCAATACAACATCCCACTAAAATCGTAAAGTTTTATAATATCTATTCTTGACCATACTCAAAGTCCTTCCTGGAAAACTTTTAGCAATTTTATAGAATTTAGGACCTTACTCTAATACCTATAGAAGAATTTGTCTATCTTCTAAATAATTAAATGGAATTGCCTCATGCTTTCTATTCTACTAATATATTTATATATTCTTACTTGTCTTTTTGAAGGTGGAGCTCTTTTCCTTTTCTTATCATGAATCTATTATCTTCTTCTTCTCTTTCTTGGCTTCTTCAAAGGTAATTTTTAAATTGGATTATAATAATCATTCTAACATTCATCTTCATCAAAGTTAAAAGTTTCAATGCTCTCAACTACATTATTTAATCTAATACTTACTCATTTAAAGTTATTCATGAACATCTTCAGAGACTATTTCTGTTTGGAAAAATCGGGGTAATACACAATTAGTTTATAGAAAGTCTAAGTTATTATGATTAAATACTTGATTAGACTGCAAGAATATCGTTAGATTACATATATTTGAAGAGGTTGAGAGTAGAGATTTAGTTTATTTTAATAAATCAATATTTTTCAAAACAAAATGATTTAAAAATGCTAAAAAAACGATTTACATAAAATCTTAATACTTAATAATTAATGAGGAATATTTTATTTTATTCTCAAATTTTACTACTCAGTAAAAAATTCATTTTTTAACATATACCCAGTTATATTACAACTGAAATCTAAATAAAGAAAAAAAATTTTAATTGATTCTTTAAGTATCAACAGACTAAATAATCATAAACTTAATTATTGAAGAAAATTTATATTCAATTTTATTTATGTATTAATTTAACTTTTTTGACTTAAAAGAGCATTCAATTTTCATTGTTCTAATAGAATGATTTTTTATTTTCCTAAAAAACATTAAAAACATTTTTTAATTATTGTTTATTTAATACTTTTAAAGGATCCTTAGTTGAATTTTTTTGATCTTCTGAATTTTTATTTTCATAATAATTTTGTAATTGAATTGATTGGCCAAATAATTTAATTTTCTTATAGCTTATTTTACAACAGATATCTTCTAAACTTGATAAGCTTATCCTATTATCTGATTTAATTGATATAAATTTGAAATATATTAATAACATAAATTTAAATGGATATTGATGCTCAAAATGCATAAATGTAGGAACTTAATGATGCTAAGATCCAAGAAATCAAGGCATAAAGAAAACTATTTGGAGGGATAATTAAAAAAGGAGATCCTCTTTACAAAAACATCATCAACGTAATATTGTTTGCTTTGCTTTTGCCTTGCATGATTATTTTTGGATTAGTCGTAGGACTGAAAAAATTATTAATTTCTTTTTTGGAATTTCTAATATGCACAAGACATTTTGTTATTCATGCATATAAAAGAACAAAGTAATTTTTTATTGTAAATTATTATTTTGTAAAAAATTGGATTATAAATAAGGGAGGTCTATTAATAATTAAAATCATTGATGGCTTAGCAAAAGGCTTAGGATATTTTGCTTAGAAATTGTAACAAATATACAATTTTATCAAATATTATTGTTTATTGTTCATTAATAACTTTATTGTTGTTTTGTATAAATGGATAGCAAAGAAATTTGTGATTTTGATGGAAATTTTCAAATTTTATTACATAAGATTATCAAATTCAGCTAAAATAAGGATTTTACAATTTACAAGATTTGCAATAGTTTAAATCAAGTTCGTTATTTTTAAGATAAAATAAATCACATTAAAAGTGTATAAAGTTATGAAATGGTTAACAATATATATAAAAGATAAAATAACAAGATTAATAACTTACTGTTGGTTCTAAATAAAAAAAGTATCTATTTTATTTCATGAACGTATATTAATTCCATTAATTCTAAAAATTACTATTTATAGTATTTATCTATTTATTCAAACATGTCGTGGAATGACTAAATTATAAAATGCAATATCCTATTATGGGCCTTTAATCTTGGACTATTTAAAAACAAAAGCTCTATAATTTAAGGCATGTTTATATTTTTCCGTTACATAATTAAAAAAGTTTATGAAATATCTCAAAAACAAATTAATTCACTATTCACTTCTAATAATAGATTATTTACTTGGAAAATATAAATAATTAAATGAAAATGTTTTGTCTCCTGTTTATTTTAAAATAAAAGAGATTTAAAAAAAGATCAAAAATTTAATGATTGATTTAGCATTGAAATTGATAGACATTATTAAATTTACTTTGGTGTTCTTAAAAAATGAAGTGATATTGAAATTAAAACAAAAAATAGTTTATTACTATAAACGGGGATCAGATGTATCTTATATAATATTTATGATTCTTTAGAAGAAAGGATATAGGCTTTCTCTTAAACTCTAATAAATATATATTAAAATTAAAGAGAGAGCTGCAGAAAGATAAAAAAAGTTTCGTTTAATTTTGTAACATATGCAATAACGAATTAAAATTCTGTCAATAATAATTTATCATTACATTAAGAAAATTTGTATTAAAATTTGTAATTTTACAAAGTATTGCAAATAAAAAATTAAACATTTTGTTAAATGTATCTAAAACTGTATCAAATAAAGTATAAAATCATTAAAAAATTCTTTCAAATGGTTATTTAAATTGATTAAAAAATTAATCAGATGGATAATAGAATTATAATGTAGAATTATTGTCAAATTTATAGCGGTATTTAAAGTATTGAATCCTATTTTCTGGTTGATAGATAATATACTAGATTTAGTTTTCTTTATTTTTTCTTAGCCAGTTTTGCTCTTCAATAACATGATAGAAAAAGGAATAGATATATTTATATATTAAGTTCCTGATAAGTTATATAATGGTATAGTTTATCTATTGGATAAATTAAAAATATTTCTGGAAAGATTAGTTTAATTTGTTGAACTAGTTATTAAATAAGCTAAAAAAATAATGAGCATTATAAATTAAAAACTTATATATCCTGTTAAGAAAGTTGTGGTTAGCTTCTATCAAAGCATAAAAAAAGTGGTATTATTTATTATTTAATAATTAATAAATTTTAAAGATATGATCAAATATAATTATATACTGCCTGCTTGGGCAAGTATAAGATTATTTGGAGTTAAAATTAAGAATAGTTTTATTAAAATAAAAAATAAAGTTACATAAATAATTATATATGGAGTCAATTAGTTAAAATTGGCCTATCTTTTTTTAAAACAGTAGATACTTATTATTATGTAATGTATTGTCAATTTTATAAATCTGTTTGTACAGTAAATTAAATTAGTTTATTAAATTTTGATTGGTCCTTTAATCTAATTTAAGAATAAGATCATCTCAATAATCTTGTTCTTAAAGAAAGAAATTTAACGTTTAATTGTAGCATAATATTTAATAATTAAAGAAGCAATATTAGTTACTTTAAATTATTTAAAAGAGTTTTTAATTGTTATAAAATTGGCAGTTTTTGAGTAGTTAAAAGCTATACAAATAATTCTTAAAAATACTTATGATTAATGTAAATAAAGCTTAATTTAAGTTAAAAATATTATTATTGAATAAATGATATATATGAAATCAATTTTAATTCAATAGAAAGAAGCAATTTTGAAATAATTAGATTCAATTAGAATGAGTATTTAAATGTAAGGAATTTTCATAAAAGACAGAATGATTACAATAATGAATGAATTGAAATAGATGATTGTATCTATTTTTTAAAGAAATTGATTTTTATCATAACACAAAATTTTTATATTTAAATTTTTAATAATAAAATGTATATATTTAGTAAATAAAATGAATTAAATGATAATGAGGTATAAGAAACAAATTGAATAAATCATTTTTTTTATTTAATATCACTGGCAGGTTAAGAATCAAATTATGCTTTAAGTTTTCTAATTTTTTCTTCTAATAACTTTTTATCGGCCTCTCTCTTTTTTTATAATCTTTATTTAATTAAGACTTCTAAATAAAACTTTCTAAGTTATGAATACAAAGCCTCTAATTCTTGATTTAAGACCAATTGAGATTGAGGAATAATATCTTTTAATTATTTATCTAATTTATCTTTGACTGAATTAGGGATAGGCAATGCTTCATTAACCCACTTATTTCTTAAATAGACAAGATGCTATTGAGTTTTATTTTTTATATCTTCATTTCTCTGACCAGCTTCAAAAATAGTTAATAATCTAGTTTCATCAATTTCCTAAATATATATATAATATAAATTACATCAGTTTCTTAAGCACTACCTATACATCTGGTGATACTACGATGTTCTTTTTCTTATTTTTTTATTTATTAATCTAATTTTCTAAGATCTTCTTATATTCTTTTTTCATCATCACAAATTTATTTTGTCCTCTTTAAATATTTCTCTAATTCCATATTTCTAAATCTATCATATTCTTCATCATAAACATAGTTGTATAGCTGATGTGATGTCTAATTCCTCTTTTATAAGATATCTCTCATAACACTATAATATCTATCTTTTAATTAATAGATGTCTCTATTCTTATTGGGATATTAATATCTATCATGGAGAATGACAAAGTTATAATTAAAATGTCTTAATTCTTGAAACAAGTATTTAGTTTCCTCATAATCCCAATTCTCATCAACTATAATATCACTCTCTGTAAATTCAACTAATTCAGGTTCAATGTTGAACTTTTCACCTGGAAATAGTTTACCCTTTTCTTATTCAGGTACCCAAGCATTAATTCTTTTGATGAAGCAATTATTTAATAATATTTCTTCTTGAGCCCATTTTTAATGAACGACTTGTTTCTATTGAGTAATAAGACCTACAGGATAGAGTCCACCAGTTAAATTAAGGACTTCTTTATCTATATGAGCATTTAGCTTTCTAAATTCTTTTTTATTCATTTTAAAAATATGAATGCGTGGTATTAATTAGTTTATTGATTGTATTTTAGATTATAATTATAATGCGAACAATAACGAAGTAAATTGAATTTTGACATTAGACCAGGAACGATTAAGATAAATAAAAATAAAGATAATTATGAACAATATAAGATTTTAGTTCTAGGGGATCCATTTGTAGGAAAGACTTCTATTTTGGATAGATATATTAATGGAGATTTTTATGAGAAGTATAATTCAACAATAGCAGTTGATTTTAAACATGTTCAACCTTCTTCAAATATGTCTGTATATAAATTGATAATAAAAAAAGCTTAATTTTTGGGATTTTAGTGGACAATAAGAATTTGTAGAAGTTAGAAATGAATTTTATAAAGATGCAAATATGATAATGTTAGTTTTTGATTTATCTTCCCGTAAAACTTTAGAGACTCTAGATATGTGGATTCGTGAAGCAAATGATTATGGAGCTGCCAATATTCCAATTTTAGTAGTAGGAAATAAAAAAGAGAAAAGAAGTATGTCAGAAAATGAAGGTTATAATTGGGCTAAATAAAGATCATATTAATATATAGAAGTGTCTGCATAGTAGAATAATAATATAGATTTATTATTCAAAGTGATTAAGGACATTTTTACTTAAAAAAAATGATAATATATAATATAATTTTCATATGTAAAACAATAGTAAATAAGTAAGAGAATCCTGGAAAATGTCATTAATAAATAAATTCAGATTATGTGATGTGATTGAAAATAATATCATTTTTTAACCACCAAAACTAACATCTCAGATTAAAAATAGTTTAAATTTGAATGGTTTAGAATTCAGTTTATAACAGAATGATAATTGGATTGAATTAAACTAATTTTGTAACATTCAATACAGAGTTTCTATTCTAAAAGAAGTAGATAATAATATAATTGTATCATATGTTCCAATAATACATTATTCATGTAATTCAGATAGAGTAATCATTCTTTCACATAGTAATGCTATGGATTTAGCATTAACATCTAAATGGGGTGCTAAAATTTGTGAATTATATTAAGTTGATGTGATTTGTTACGATTATTCAGGATATGGAATTACTAAAAAAACTATGAAACCATCAGAGTATTTTTCTTTTTTAATAGATTTACCATTTCTAGAGATCTCTCTAATGTTGTTGCTTTAGTTTAACATCAATATGATTATATATTTTTATAGGGATTCTCAATTGGTTCTTAACCTACTGTTCAAGTTGCAACATAATTCTAACTTTCTGGAATCATTCTATAAGCTCCATTAGCATCATTAGGTAGAATTATAGATAATCGAAATTCATTCTACTCAGAATATGATAAGTTTTCTAATCAATCTATCATCAATAAAATAACTGCTCCACTCTTGATATTTCATGGAACTAAAGATACCATTATTAAAATTAATCATTCTGAATAGTTATCTAAATCATCTCAAAATTTATTTGCTTTCATTAAAGTAGAAGGAGCAAATCATAATGATACACATCATTCTAACTTAATTATATATAATAATCTAAATCTAAATCTAAAATTATCTCATTTGTATTGGATTAGCTGCTGAAACTGAACATTCAGAAGTTTTTAAATCTATTAAAAGTCTTCTTTATCATTAAAATATAACACCTATTAAAAAGGTCTTTGAATTAACATTAAAATTTGATAATCTTATCATTCTTAATTAAATTGAATAATATAATATGTATAAAAGTACTTTGCCTATCTCAAAAAATAAAAAATGAAAAATAAGGTTGTTCATTATTTTGTACAAAATTTTGAATTATCTGTATTAATAATAATTATTAAAGTTATATTATTTTAATGTCTTCTAATTCAGAATATGTTCCTTTTAATTTTGAACAAATACCTGATAAAGAAATAATTAAAATATTGACTTATAATACCTTTCTTAGACCACCTTTAGTAAACAATAATGGAAATGATTACAAAAATGAAAGATGTGAATTAATCATTAGAGAATTAGTTAAGTAATTTATTGATTTTAAAAAATAGTTTTGATATTGTTTGTCTCTAAGAAGTTTTTGGATTTTTAAATTCAAGAAAGTCTATTCTTAAACATAAAGCATTTAAGCTTGGTTTCACATATTAATCTGTTAGTCCAAGTCCTAGTTTTTTTTCTAGTTAAATGGTTGATGGTGGATTAATTACATTGAGCAGGTTCAAAATTAAACATATATATAACTTTAGATACCCAATACTCTATCATGATTTTAAAGAATTTCCATACGGCATATTGTCTGACAATCTCTCAAATAAGGGAGTCTTATATACAAAGATTCTTGTCAATGGATAAATATTGCATATATTTAACACACATTTGTAAGCAAGTTATGTAGGAAAAGAATCAAATGTGGTATTAAATGATAACTTATGAAATATAGAGGGCAACAGTTTCCACTAGAATAGATTAAATGTATTGTATTAAGAAATTTGTAAATCAAGTTCTATAAGAGTAATAAGCAATGGCAAAAGATTTGATATTATTAGTTGGTGATTACAATATTGATAGCAGATATGAGTAAGGGTATTCTGTAGAGGTATTGAAATAGTTTCCAATACTGTTATAGTAGTTAGGGAATCCTTAAAAGTATTAAGAGTATGATGCTTTGATTTAAATAATGACAAATAATGGTAAAGATAAATTTAAGAATTTATTATATGATCAGGAGGGGAAGTTTGTTATAACTTATGCAGATTACTTAGAGGAGGAGAATGGTTAAAGATCACCTCTGGAGATTTAATTAACAGATAAAGCTGATTTGTTAACTGGTTAATGTTTGGATTATATATTTTAATTGATTCCTGAAAATGAAAATAGTCCAAATACAATAGAAATAAAATAAGTGAATGTTGAGAAATTCTTTGTTGAAGGATAGCGATTTACTTAATTATCAGATCATTATGGTGTTTCTTGTGATATATTAGTTTAATAGGCTAAGTGATAATATAATATTTATTATAAAATGAATAATTCGAGTTAAGGAGACTCTCCTATGTCTCGTTTTGATTTATGTATTGACTAATTAACATTTAGTTATATAATCATTCAAATAGTGGATGTTAACAATCATCAACGAGGCTTCAATTGGTCTTTACTAAATATAATCTCATTTGAAGGATTTGGTTATGCATTTTAGAAGATTCAAAGAGGATGAAGAAAAATAGATAAAGAAATTATCAATAATTAACACATAACAATAAAATACTATAGTAGAATTGTAGGAAATAGGAAATTTGAATAAAGAATGGGCACCTAAGATGTAGAGACTTCTTGATTAATTGTAAAAGAATAATAATAAAATATGATAAATAAATTATAATTATAATCAATTATATTGTTTCTTATGATTCTCTTATTAATTATAATCATTTGTACATTATTATTGTTCTTATTCTAATTTGTTATTATTATTGGTCTATTATTCTTATTCTAATAATTAATTATCATCATTATTTTATTATTATTATTAATATTTTAATAATTAATTATCATCATTATTTTATTATTATTCTAATTATTAATCATCATTATAAGAAAGTTTAATGTAAGAATCCTTCTTCTTTTCTATATGGATTTTTGAACTCATTCCCTATTTAATATAGTAAATTCAAAATTACCAAAAGTAATTCCTTAGTAACTCCAAAAGCAACTAAACTAATAGCAATCCATTGTATTTAATTAACATTATGATTATGAATAATAATAGATAAAAGAACAGTGAAAAACTTTCTGGTTGTAGTAATAAGACTTAAAACTCTAGGAGAGAAACAACTGGATAGTAATTAAATTGAATATACCTTATGCAATAAAAGATGAACACTTATCCTAAAACTGAATTAATAGTAAGAAATCCTATTTATGGAATAACTTTTGGATATTATTGAATGTATGATAAGAATTAAATAAACTTACCTTATATTATAGTATAGAATATTGAGCCAATGAAACTCCATAAAGTAATATGAAATCCCATCTCCCATTATTCTAATTTCTTTACTTTGAATTTACTTTATAATGTTGCTAGACAACCATCTGAAAATAATGAAGCAATCAATAAAATAATTCCAAAGATTGAAGAAGTGTTATTAGATGTATTACTCTCACTTATATTAAAAGTATAGATTCCTACTGTAATTATTAAACCACATAGTATTTACTATTTTGTAAATTTTTGATTTCCAAATACTAATCCAACTACTAATACTGAGAGGATTCAATAATTTTCATAAATACTTACTTGCAACTTTTAACTAGAGCTTAAAGTGGAAAACTCACATATTATAAGGCTGTTAATGCACCTATCATTGATGTAAAATTTAGTAATCCTAAATAGGATCCTTCCGTTATAGTACATACAAACTTTATTTTATTTCTAAAAATCATTGTCACACATAATAAATTATATAATGACATTTGTAGAAATATTAGAATAGAAGAAAATTCAAATTTAGGAGATGGATTACTATCAATAGAACCAAAATTACTTTTAAATCTTGATAATAATAAAATCATATATTACAAGTGTTCTTCAATAAGTCCTACTTTAAAATAGCAGAAATATATTCCAGCAACAGATATAAGTAATTATAATTCTTTTCTGATCATATAAATATATATATATATATTTTAAGTCTAAAAAATATATATGAATGATAAATTATAATGATGTTGTAATTTCATATTGATAAAATTATTTTTGCTTTATTAAATATTATAATAAATCTTTTTGAGTTTATAAGATTTAATACAATATTTATGAACATTCATATTTTTAAAAAATGAGAAAAGTCTTAATCACTGGTGGAAATCGAGGTTTAGGATTTAAATTAGCAGAAGTATTATCTCCGAATCATCATATACTATTAACAGGTAGAAACTTGGATAGTGTGAATTAAGCTAAATGTAAAATAACATCTATTGTACCAAATGCAAACATTACCACATAATAATTAGATGTCTCAAGATTTGATAGTATTAAGACATTTCATAAATGGATGATGACTACTAATACTACTCTAGATGTAATTGTAAATAATGCTGGTGTGAATGATGAAAATGAATTAGAAAATAAAGCATTTGATATAATGAACACTAATTTGTTTGGAATCATAAATCTAACAGAAACAATATTACCATAACTCACATAAGATGGAAAAGTAATTGATTCATATTGATATTTTTAGATTATTCTAATATCCTCTATGCTTGGTAAACTAAAATTATAACCACCCACTACTTAGAAATTGTTATAAGAAAAATTGACAAAATAATAAATATTACAAATGGCTAGAGATCTTATACACAATTATAAAGAAGGTAATTATGGAATCTGGTCATCACATATTCAACCACTCTATAAAGTATCTAAAGTATTGACAAATGCATATGCCAGATATGTCTTAACCGATTTAGTATAACCAAATTAATCTATATTCTGTGTTCATCCTGGATGGTATTAGTATTCTCATTACTCTTTAGGGTTAAAACTGATATGGGAGGACCAAAAGCTCCAGGGGAAATTAAAGATGGAATATTCACCAGTAACTATTTAATTCAACAATTACCCTATGGTAGAAATCCACAATATCATGCTAAGTATTTTAATGACAAAGCCTAAATTGAAGACTATTGAGATTTACATATATATATATATATAACAATTTAATATTTAACTCATTATCATCCATCATAAATTATAAGTTATTGAATAAGCTATCAATGGTACCTTATATTCAGGTTTCTTCATTAAAATTGCAAATTTATCATTCTCTTCTAATCTTATTGTTGTATTTTATATCCTATTTGCCCAAGTATCAGGTTATATCAATTTACCAAAATCAGTTATATTTTCTTTCTTTCTATATAAAAAGACACCTAAACGACCTGTAATTTTTAAATAGAATTCATATTATACTTCATCTATCATATTTTTAGAAATCTCTTTTACGTTATCATCCAATGAGTAAAATACACTAATAATTATAAAATATCAATTTTTTACTCTTATTAATCATTATTATCATCAAATTTAGGTATTTCTGGATATTTACTTATTTTATCTATCTTTTTACATATGATTTATGCATGATCTTATGAAATTGTGTTAATTTATTAAATATCATCTTTAAGTAAAGAATAATCTTATCTTGATATTTTACATACAACAATTTCATTTTCATCATCTTTAAAATGAATAGCATGCTTATTCTGTAAATTTACTCCATGTTTTCTAAATATAGTTTTAGTATGTTCATCAGAAATAACTTATAACAATATATATTTATCTGGTTTCTCATTAATATATATATCATCAACTTAAGTAACAGTTGCTTAAATAGTTTAAGGTGGTTTTGGATTAGATGCAATTTATGAAGTGGATTTTTTAATTACATTTAAAGCTGTTGACAAAGTAATTAATTATTGTATTGAATTACATTTCTCTTTAATTTACTCTACCTTATTATTATAAGGTATTTAAAACTTAACACTATCCAATCTATCATATTGAATTTATTATAATTACATGCTCACTTCTTAAGGTAGATTTTTAAGCCAATCATATGTCTTTTACAATTCTTATTCAGCTTCTTTTAAAAATTAATTAGGACAATTAGAATCATCAAGTTATTTCAATATATGACAGAATACTTCTAAATTTATTCGTAATTTTTTTATTTCTTCACAATAGTTATCTCTTGCTAATGAAATATCTATTGCCAATTAAACAAGATTGAGTAAATCCATTCGAGAAATTATTATTCCTCAATATTTTTAAATGGTTTATAATAGTTTTATATATTTCTAATATATTATTATTAAGTAAAAAGTAAGTTCAATTGAAAATAAACACATTACTCATCATATCAATTTATAGTAGAATTCATCATTGTTAACTGCTAGAGTTTCTAATATCTCTTAATAAATTGTATTTATTGATTCTTATAAATATGCAATTTATGATTTCTAAATAAAGAATTCATCATACTTTTGGAAATTGTTTAATATACTATCTAAATTTATACGCATTTTTAGCTAAATTTTTAGGATATTTATAATTTTCCATATAATGACATTCTCTAGATTTTCTAGATCTGATTTCTGATAGTTTATTACATAGATTATCAAGTCCAGTTTGAATAAGATTGTTTTATTTAAATATTTTAACTTTCTTTAAAGCAATTTCATATTTCTGATTAAATTTAGTTTAAGTAGTCTATTGAAATAGTTTAGTTAATTAATAATAAGGTTTTAAGAAGAAATGCATAATTATCCAACAAAATAAGATTCCTGAAATATTATAAATGATATAATATATCAATTAAGCAGTTGCCTAACCAAGTAATTCAGATTTCAATTCTTAAGTGTCATTGTCATTTTGTTCCATAAACTTGTAATCTACAAATCTTAGATATATTTGAAAATTCTTACACAATTTAATAGAATCTATTATGGATACCAAATCCTCTAATAAATAAATCTTATCCAAATAATTTATTATGTCTACAAAAATTCTTATATTCAAATTAACAATTAGATTATCCATTTTGTTAGTGTATTTATTTAAGAATTTAATCCCAATCTTCATTATCAAATCCAGTAATAGATGTATCATTAAAATATTTCATCTCTTAAACAAAGTTCACAGTTGGATAGACATTTGAAATTAATATCCTTCCAGCTAAATCAACTAAATAAATATTTAATTAGTCATAATTGATTTTTGGTTTGATAACTTAGAAATTACTATCCAAAGCAATAACTCCATCAAATTCTAATTATTCATTTGTTAAAGAAACTGTTAATGTAAATTCAAATTCTTAAGTTTCATAATTTCTGTAAATTTCAGATACTACTTCACTTTAATCACTACTATTTAAAGTAGCTATATGATCTTAATACCATTATCTTTATTTAGGTCTGTACTGAGGATATCTCATTTTTTATGGAATGATACTAAAAAATTACCCTTCTCCTTATTATGTTAAATATATTGTTGGTTCTAATTCACTATAACCAATTAACAATAATTATTCATTTAACATTTAAATCAAAACTATCAAATGTTAATCAATTTTTGTTTTTGGAATTTATGCGTAATCTATTTGATTTGCATAATAATAACAAAACTATGGTATATAATATTCAAAATCCTATTTCTCTCTTCCATTATAATCAACACAACTAAATGGTGTATTATTCAAACTTATATTTTATTACTTAAGCAAATACAAATTTTCATTATTAATTTTATTAAGCAGACTGAACCCAAAATTAAAAGTTAAGAAGGTTTAGTATTCCAAATAAGTTGATTATTTAAAAAGAGCCTTTTGATTTATATTTTACAACAATTATAATGACACCTTCTCTATTACAGATTCAATTATTACTCTATTAATTACCAAGGCTATTGTTAAAAACCCTATTATCACACTAAATATTAAAAGTTAAATCACTAAAATTTAATTCTTCACTCTATAGTTTCTCAAACATTTTAAAAATTTCGGAGTTCTAATTTAATTAAGAGAGAACATGATATTTTATATTTTTGATTAAAATGCTATTTTATTTTGATATAATCTAATATAATCATTTCATAACGCTTAGGCCACAACGAAAGAATTTTCATACACTTTTTAACTATTATTTCTAACAAAGAACTTAATTAATTCTATAATTTCTCAATTCATTGAATCTATTTTAGATTTAAATTTTAGTTAACTTCTTCTAGAAATAATTTTATTCCCATTAATTAACATAAATTAAATAGACTAAACAAAGAATTTTTATAAATATTTTTGTTATTCATTTATTGAATAATTTTCTTAAATTGTCTTATCAAATCGAGTTAAGTATTTTTCTTTTGTTTTAATTTCTAATATATATATATATATAGAATTTTATTATACTCTAGAGATAAATTAAGACTTTTGGATTACACTCAACATTCAATTTGTTCCCAATATCAAGTTGAATAACAAAAAGCCATATTCAGTAATAATACTCAACACTAAAATTTTTATACATCCAAACAAAAATATCCAATAGCAATTGTTAAATGTTTGCTGATTAGACAATTAGTGACTTAAATGATTCTATTTATTTTCTTAATGAAATAAATTCCTACTCAAAGCAACTAATTTGATTCTTTAAATAAATGATAATTCCTCAAATTATTTGAGAATATATATAAATAATTATTCATTTAATTAATTAAAAAAATAAATAAATACAAATTATAATAGTTTCTAAAACTAAATATATTTTCATTTTATCTATTTGATAATCATACTAGAATGTTTCAAACCAATAATTCCATTTTTGTAATTTTCATTAATAAAGTATCATAATGAGGATGAAAATCAAAAGCAATCAAAATTATATCTAAATTTTTATTCTTTATGATTACTGTTACCATTTTCCTCAATTATAAATTCAATACAAATTTGAAAATAGAAAAAAATTAGACTATTATTTGAAATCTACTAAAATGATATACAATATGGATTAAATTTCATTGTCTTATTAATAAGCCAATTAATAAGCCTATATTTCATCCAATCAAACATCATCAAATTATGCTGAATAATTAACATTGAACTAAATCATTTTGTTAAAATTTAGAATAAAATTATTATGATGATTAATTAGGATTAGAACTAGAAAGATAATTTACTTAAATTTAAAATGCTACTGATAAACTTATTGATCTTATCAAAAATAAGTAATAAAAAAGTTAAGTAAAAGATGATTAATTCATCAAGTGTTGTTTTTCATTTCTTAGATGTTTGCAAAAGTAAAAGATTCAATTCTACTTTTAATAAATAAATTTAACAATTAATATTAATAAATTAAAAATGAGAAACAAAAAATCAAGAATTAGCTTAAAAAATGTTGGAAATTATTTCAGAAAATACTAATTAAATTAAATAAATCGAGGAAAAGTTGAATAAAGACTCTAAAAATTCACCCGATGAAATAATTTATATATACTAAAAATATGTAATTTTTTTTTTATTTAATTTAGATTAAATAAAGAAAGAGAATTCAGATTTTCTAGAAAAGGTTCATTAAGCAATATTATAATTAATTAAAACTATTTCCGATTAAATGCAATAATTTATATCTCAAAATAATGAGAATTTAAATACAATTTAAAAGATCCAAATATAAATTAAATTGACAAATCAAACTAGAATTAATAAAAGTAAAATCAAAACTTCTGAAGAATTTTCACCTTTGGAATTTAAATCTAATTTATTTTATTCAAACAATCTCTTTAAGATTATATATTTTAATCAGCAAATATGGTTAATATAACAATATTTGGAGTAATAAATATCTTGAGTGTTTGGATAATTTAGAAAATTTTATTTAGGATGTAAAATAAGCTACTGAAAGATGTTATGGGCAGAATTAATAAATTTTAAATTAAATTAGTTAGCCTTAGTAATAAAAAAATAAATGATGAAATGAAAAATATATCAAAAAAGGTCTATTTATAATAACTTAAAATATAAAATAATAAGAAATTATAAACAATTTTTTAATTATTAATAGTTCAATTTTTTATTTTTATAAGTATAGTTTATAATGATGTTATTGAATGAAATTCTATTAAATTCAAGAAATAAATTGATCATGATTAATACAATAAAAAATTTTTTTTTTAATTAGTACTTGATAGTCTACTTTAAGATATAATTCATTCAAAAAATTTGAAAATTCGTTTTTAATAAAAATGTACTCACATTTTACTAATTTGAGAAGAAAATGAATTTTCTTAGGTATTTTAAAAGCGATGACAAAATATTTTCCTCAAAAAATAATATTCCTTTAGAGATCATTTTATCCACAAAAAATTCCTGTTTTTTGTTTTCTCTCAAGTAAAATGATGTAAAATGATTAATATTAGAAAAATATGAGAAATGATAAAATTTATCGAAAAATTATAAATTATTTTGTTTTTCATTTAATATTTTTTTCCATTTTTAAGATAAAATTTAATTCTAATAGGAATTATAATATTAACTTCATATATGTGGTTATAATTTTATAATTTTTTCAATATCATAATTCTTATTATTATTGATAAATCCAGTCAAGTAAGTTTTATGTTAAGCCAGTGCCAATAAAACTTTTTTTCTCCAAATTATAACCAAGATGAATACCAATTATGCTCCATTAATTATCTGCAATTTTTAAATATATTGGAGAACCATCTTACCCAAGACATGCACTTTTAATATCATAAAGTATCAAAGCTTATCCATCATCATGAAAATCAATTTCATTAATAATTCCATCAATAGAATATAATTAACCTGAAGTTCCTAATGGATAACCAATAATTTTAATAATTGAGCCTTAAATTGCTNTTTATAAGTATAGTTTATAATGATGTTATTGAATGAAATTCTATTAAATTCAAGAAATAAATTGATCATGATTAATACAATAAAAAATTTTTTTTTTAATTAGTACTTGATAGTCTACTTTAAGATATAATTCATTCAAAAAATTTGAAAATTCGTTTTTAATAAAAATGTACTCACATTTTACTAATTTGAGAAGAAAATGAATTTTCTTAGGTATTTTAAAAGCGATGACAAAATATTTTCCTCAAAAAATAATATTCCTTTAGAGATCATTTTATCCACAAAAAATTCCTGTTTTTTGTTTTCTCTCAAGTAAAATGATGTAAAATGATTAATATTAGAAAAATATGAGAAATGATAAAATTTATCGAAAAATTATAAATTATTTTGTTTTTCATTTAATATTTTTTTCCATTTTTAAGATAAAATTTAATTCTAATAGGAATTATAATATTAACTTCATATATGTGGTTATAATTTTATAATTTTTTCAATATCATAATTCTTATTATTATTGATAAATCCAGTCAAGTAAGTTTTATGTTAAGCCAGTGCCAATAAAACTTTTTTTCTCCAAATTATAACCAAGATGAATACCAATTATGCTCCATTAATTATCTGCAATTTTTAAATATATTGGAGAACCATCTTACCCAAGACATGCACTTTTAATATCATAAAGTATCAAAGCTTATCCATCATCATGAAAATCAATTTCATTAATAATTCCATCAATAGAATATAATTAACCTGAAGTTCCTAATGGATAACCAATAATTTTAATAATTGAGCCTTAAATTGCTCCGCTTTTTTCTAAAGGTATTCCCCATATTGAATTCTTGCTAAGAGGACCATTTTACATTATTGATTAATCAGCAAGTTTAACCAAAGATAAATCAAATCCATCATCAAATTTATTATTAAAGATGTATCCAGGATGTAAAACATATTTTTCTGCCAATAATCTGCAAAAATATGTATTTTAATCTTTTCTAGAATAATAATATGTTATTTTATTTGCATATCTAATAGATTTCTAATTTTCATTTATATCTACTAAATTATGAGCACAAGTTAAGAGAAAATATTTATTATTTTAAAAACCTTATCCATAAATACAAAGTGTGCCACTTCCAACATATGTGTTTTGATCATTTTCGAATTAAATCTGCAATTGGCCTTATACACCTTCAAGTTGATTAGTTGATGTATTTTGTATATGATTTTAAAGTTTATGGCTTTCATTATTTACTTAATTAATTGCTGTTAATTAATTAAATGGTTTTGCATTAATACAATTTTAAGGAGGTATATAATCTTACTTCAGAGAAGTAAAGAGAAAGAATTATTTTGATTGCATAATTCTATTATGATAAATAATAATTATTATAAATTTTTATTTAATTTTTGAAAATCATATATATTATTTTATTTCCTTATTATTATTTTATTTCCTTATTAATGAAAATGACTATTAAAATACATTAGATCAAATTATTATTAGAATATATTAATTTAATAAATAATTCAAAATTAATTTTAATTCTATCTTTGATTTAAACAGTATTTATTCTAATTCTTTTTGTTCATTTTTTTATAATATCTAGTTTTTGCAAAAAATTTATCAATTTACAAGAATAAGCAACCAAACTTAAATATTTTTAAAAGCATATATTCGAAAAAAGACAGAAACTTTAGATAAGTATATCAAAACTCTCAAATTATGATGGATCATTATTTATGATCGATTATTTTAGAAGAAGAAAATTGATGATTCCTTGTTAACTAAAGAATATATATTGATTATATTAAATATGGGGTTTATTAACTAAATAAAGATATTTAAAAAAACTATTAATTGAATCCATAATCATCTATAGATATAATAATAAATAAGTAAATTATTTTTCTGATTGAATAAGATTTCATCAAATTTGCTTATATTTTCTAAATTAAATCTTACTTGATTTCGAATCCCATGTTACCAAAAGAGTTCCATCATCACTCATTGTACCATAAATCATATTTTAAACAAAAAATATGGCCTATTCTAAAACAATTTGGCAGTCTAAAAGAGAATTGTTAGCAAAACTAATTAAATTTATATTGTGCCCATTTTTTGATAGTAGAATATTTTTAGATGTATTGTAATACAAAGGAAAATAAAGTGAATTTCCTTTCCCTCTTGTTTGAATCTAAAATGTATTATATTTAATGTATTCTCCATTTATTTAATCAATAATATAAAATGTTAATGATGTTCCATCCAAAGACTAACAAGCAAAAGTTTAATTTGTTATGAATGATATACTAATTCCATCATTAAGTATCCTTTATTTTATTTACCATTATTATTAATTAGATCTATGAATGATTAAAATATAATTATCATTTCCACAAGAAAGTAATTAATTTCCTTCATCATTAATAGATAAACCATAAACATATGAAGTATGTTCTTAAATCGTTTATGAACAAATCCAATATTTTAAAGGATTTAAAGACCAAAATTTAATAGTTTTGTCAGCAGATCCACTTACTATAAAATCTTCTAAAGAATTACTTATTTATAAACAATTAATAGCATAAAAATGATTTTTTAATTAGAATAAAGCATTCCATTAAGTAAATTATTGATCTGGAGTCCAAATTATAATAGTAGAGTCTAAAGAGCCTGACACTAGCTAATTCAAAATTTATGATTGTTTTTTAAAGAAATTTAGAGTTGTAACATGATTTTTGTGAATCCTTTCTAAGTTTTATAAAAGCTCTGGTTCTTAATTTAAAGATTAATTTATTTTTAAAATATTAATGTTGCATTCAGAAGCTATTGCAATAAGAGTATTATTAAAATTAATAGCCAAAGCTTAACATAATTCTCCTTATTCATATGTTAATTTTTTAATGATTTCATATTAAAATGAGCTACTTACACTATTTTTTTATAAAATTGAATTTGATATTGTTTATTTATTTTATTATTCTAATAATTTTCTTCCTAATTATTATTATATTTGAGATTTTATTGGTTATTATTTATTTTATTCTTAAAAAAAGAGACCTCCTTTTAAATCAAATTTATCCAAGCTTGTAACAATTTATTTCATTAACTTTTGAAATTAATTATATCCTTCAAAATATTTGAATGGATCCAACTATGAATTCAACAATTTAATTTAAGTATCATTTAGAGTAATCAAATCAAAATAAATTTATTTTGTTTCTAGTTTATTTATTGATTGTTATTTATTTATTAAAAGGTCTAATTGATTGAAAAAGTTATAACAAGCTATTTATTCTCCTTTTTCCTTAATACTAGAAATCCAATCATTAACTATGACAGTCAATTAATCTAGCTACATCAAAATAATAGACTCCATTAAAGAGATTTTATCATAAAATTATTTGAGTAAATCTAGATGAGGGGTTATGATTTATTCATATTAGTTTAATTTTTATTTTATTGGTTTTTCTATAATTTAGATAACATTTTTTAATGGACAAACAGGTAAATGAGTTACTTCTATACAATTTTTACAAACAAATCTTTTATCTAAAGCTAGACCAGGTTCCATATTTACAGAACATATAGGCATACAATGATTTTAAAAGCATTAATAATCACTAAGATTTTCCATAGGTTTAGGATTAAACATTTAAAAAATAAATTATTTAATATAAAATAAATTCATTTCTTTGATTTTAAAAATATTCATATTCATTAAAATAAACCTTATTATATTTGAAATGAACTTTTATTAATTTTTATATATTACAATATGTGAGATTATTTATTTTGAATTTAAAAAATGATATCACTTTATTTCATTTTTTCTAAATTCTTATAATTATTTATATTTAGAAGGATTAAATCATTTTTAATATTTTAGAATTTTTAAAATATTTGATAATTATTCTTTCTATTAACAATAATAATCAATTACTATGATACTTTCTAATTTATATTATTTTAGAATCTTAATCCAATGTAATTAAAAATTCACCATCAGTACTCATAAAACCTGAAATATATTTGCTCTTAAAAGAAATTTCTTAATGATGTAAAACTTAATTTTCTTAGATGATTAAAATTAAATTCAGAAATGAGCCAGTTTAATTTATTACTACTTTTTTTGATTAATTGAATTACATAAGAAAAGTGGTTTACTCATCACAAACTCTATTAATTAAAATTTTGGTTTAATATTCAATTTCATTAGCATGAAAATTGATTTTGATTAATCCTAAAGATGTTTAATTAATTGTTTAAAAAAGGATAATAAAATCTTAAATAAAACAGATTGATGGTGTAAAGTTGTAGATATTTATTTATAATGAGACAAACCAATAATTTTCTGTTTTATTTTTTTTATTTTTAATCAAAATAATTTTATGGTTTTATGAATATGTAGCTATTAATTATTAGGAAGGATTAAAATTTAATCCAAAAATTGAATTTGAATTAAAATTCAAACTCTATTTTTACAACCATTGAGAATTTTAATATATCCAAAAAGAAATTAAATTGTTTCCACCTGATACTAATAAGTTCTCCTATTTATTTATAATAATATATTTCTACTCAACAGCACTCTTAAGGATTTATTTACATTTATATATTTAGCCCTTTTTATCCCAAAACCAAATTATTAATGATTTATCTAATGATCCAGATATAAAAGAATTATCATTTTATAAAAATAATAAACAACAAACATCACCTGAATGATTTTTTATTACTTATTATTATGTAAATGTTTATTCTTCTAATTTGAATACTTTTATTAAGTTATTCAATCCTACTATTAATATTTAAGATTAAATCTAAAATGCTATAGCCTTATAAGTTTCGTTTTCCTAAATAGGTAGTTCTCTATTTATTTTATATTCTATAAAAAGTTGTTTTTATTTTCCAATCCAAATCTTTTTACTCCTATAATCTCTACTTAAAAAATATTCTCCTATAATTTTTTGATCACCATATTTACTTGTAAAATAGGATTAGTTTTAAAATTTTTTGTTATCTTTTAATGCTAAAAATGGTTATTCTAAAGAAAATTCTAAATTCAAAAAAGAATTGCTTTGATCCAAATTTACCGCATGATATTTATCCAAAATGTATTATAAATCATCATTTGTTCCAAATATCTAAATATCTCTCTTATAAGCAAATTAACAATTCTTTTTTTATTTAAATAACATCCATCTCTTATCGTTCATTTATTTAACAGCAAATATACTTTCCCGAATAAAAATTATATTACTAAATGAATTATATATTGTAATTTCTTAAACCGGGTTCCATATTTATTTATCTTCTATTTTTTTTTTTTCAACAATAACAATTTTCATATAATTCACTTACGCTATTATTTTATTTTCTTATTAATTTAAAATTATTTCATTCAAAGATTATCCAATTGTAATTTCTTAAGTTGTATACCATTAAATTTATTCTTTTCTTTTTAAATGTAATTTACCTTCAGAACATCCTATTATCATAAAATCTTCTGATTAATTTATTAACACAACCATCATATCTTTATTAAATTTGAGTATGCATAATACTTTATTTTTATTTATGCAATTAACACTCCATGTTTTTAATTTATTTCTTGAATTGAAAGATGAATATATTTGTTATTATTTATAAAAATACAACCACATATTGTTATCTATGTTATTAAAATTTCCTATAAATTTATAATTACCTGTTTTGAATTAATAAAATTGTTATAATCCTTAAAATAGTGAAAGTACTAAAATAGATTAATTAGGATTTAATGTTATCTCTTTGCAATGTTTTTTTAATTCAATTGAACTAATTTATTAATATTTGAAAGGCTCAATCTAATGTATTTTTACGCTTGACTAATTCATTAAATTTTTGGAATATATAATTAAATTAAATATTTAACTAATTTTTTTTGAATTGTTTTTTGTATAGAATGGCATAGTTAAAATTGGCCAACAACATTTCTTTGATATTATTTTCTAAACCAAGTTGGAATAAAATTATTTTGACCATTTTTTCAACGACCATCCATAATCTTTTTGAATTTCATTTTGTTCTTTAATATTCTTTTTAAATTTATTAATAAACCTAAATAATTTTAGGAACATAGATAATAATATTTTTAAATAAAATATTTTAAATCAAGAAGTATAAGAAAATAATATTTAAATATTTGAAAAGTAAAAGGTTAATATAGAAAATAAGAATTTATATCTAAATATATCATCCCATATCTCTAATTTCATAAAATAGGTAACAATTACTGAGATAAGTAATTAAATAAAAAATATATTTCAAATTGGCTAAATGATAATTTTAATTTAATTATTAAGAGATTTATATAATATAATAACTTCAAAAGATGAAGGAAGAAAATAGTCTCAAGAAGCAATTTATAAAATTAATAATACTTATCGAAAATTGATAATTAATAAAATATTTCTGACATTAGTTTAATCAAACATTTTTTCGCTTGTAATTCTCAGGGTGTTAGTATTATTTTTTATCATCTCTTTAGAACTAAATAAAAAATGATTATTATTCTCTTATAGAACTTGGAAAAGAGAATTCATTTTTTTTGATTTAATTCTATTATAGAAGGTTAGGACTATTGGCACTAAAGATTTCTGCAGAAAATTATTATTATTCAGTTTCTTTTTTATTTTTATTACTTCTTTTCAAAATAATATTTTTTGAAGATGTTTCTAATCTTTTTAATCTAATTTAATATTAATAAATTATACTTTTTAAGATCTATAATTAAACGAGCTTAAGGTAATAAATATTCTCTCAATTTTGCAAATTTTAATTTAATTCTAGCTTATTAATTTTTGTGTGTCTCAAAGAAATGTCTAAAACAAGGATGAGATTTCACAGCAGTAGGGAATTATTTTGATATTAGTTCTTTTATAATGTCTATTTTATCATGAAGTTTGTAGAAATATGCAAATAGAATTGATATAATCATTCTAAGTATATAAAAACCATTAAGAAAAGCAATTATAATATAAAAAGGCCATACAATTTCATGTAATTATTATTATTGTGCTGTATAGATTGAACTAGCCAAAATAATAGATATAGCACAAATAACTGTAGATTATGTATCAATTAAATTTAATTATCCAGTCATATATGGTTTTTTTTTAATTGCTATAAAACTATAACAAAATAAAACAAGGAATACTAAAGATGCTTTAAGAGGTACAAGATCATCATAATAAGCCAAAACAATAATAATGATTTCTTTTTGCATTATCTTGAGTGTTTCCCAAAAATAGGCATGAATCCTATATTCATTATATAAATATCCCCATTTTTTTCTAACTTATGAAAAATCAAGATGATGTTTATTGTTATAAACTCCATACCACAAAAAACAAGGAATTATGAAACCAAAAGTGATAAGTAAAGGAAAACAAAATGTGATTGCCCATTTAGCATGTTAAACTGTATCATATCTATAAGCTACATTGCCTTAAATCCATTATTCATTTGAAATACTTCTATAAGATAATAGTGAAATTATAATTCCTATCAAATTTGGTTACAAAAATATGAATAAATATATCAAAGATGTCGAAATAAAAGAAAAGTTGAATTTTATTATTTTAGTAATAGTTGCAATTCCAACAAAACTAAAAATAATAACTATATAACTTGAAGTTATAACTAAACTCCAAATAATTCGAAAATATATTATTAATATATTAGTAATATTAACTAAGAAGCAATCTAATGAATAAGCAAGTGACTCAATAGGATTACCAACACTATTAATAACTGAAGCTAATCCTACTGGAACTTACAATTAAAATGTAGAAATCGTAGAGATAATTTAAAGATAATTTGTGAATACTTTAATAAGAATAGCAGTTTGAGCTTCTTTTATTGCTATTCTTACTCCAAAGGCCTTTAAACTTAAACCTTTAACAAATTCTTCAATAATTAATTTTGTACTACTTACTGACATTAATGTTGAAATCAAAGTCCAAATACTTACAAATATTATTGTAATAACATAATAAGCTATTTCATCACAACTTCCACATTTATAGGTTGAACTTATAGAATAAGATCCACTTCCTCTAGAATTATATAAATCACACTATTCACATAATGCTCCTATATGTCCTAATATACATGATTAATCTCCTGATCTCCAACCTCCTTAACAATTCTCTTTTAAATGATAACAATATTCAATATTTTAACTATAATAATATGCTCTCCAATAATGCTCTCTTAATTCTATCATACTTGATTCCACTGATTTTATTTTAGTATCGTCTTTATAACTACAATTTTAAGCTGTCTAAGATACTTAGTATTAATTCTAAAATTTATCACAAAGAACACATCCACCAGAAGTTTGATTTAAGAATTCACCTAATTGACAAGGGAATGTTCGAATATCAACCTATAATGTATAATTTGTGATATAATCATATATTTAAAAAGGTGCACTATTTTCATATAATGGAACAGAAACACTGCTACATTATATTTATAATCGAAGAACTAAATCTTAATCATAATTAGGATTGAAATAAATGATTAGATTATCTAAATTATAATCACCACTTTATTCATCAAATTAGACATCATATTAAGATAAACTAAATTAAATATCATATTCTTCTTTTTATGAACTTAAATTAAATGCTTTTGGCTGTAAATTGCAAGTAGAACCTTATAAACCCATAATTTATTCTTAAAAATTATCTAAAGCAATAATTCTGAATTTAAGATTATAAGGAATAAATTCTGATTGTATAGGATCAAAATACCTGTAACTGGCTATTCTTATTCCAGAAGGCAATATCAATTAAGAATTTTCAGATTCAGAACCTAAAGTCTTATATGGATTAATAATTATTTGTTCAACTATTTAATTATCTATATTTTTTATATTTTTCTTCTCTAGTAACATTTGATAAATATTAACTGATAATGTTAATGATCTAGGTTTATCCAAAGCATTCGATCCATATAAAGTTGAATTATTATCATCCAAGTATAAATCTAATTATTTAGTTAATTAAAGTGATTAATAATTTAAATACAAACCTCCTGCAATCTTAGCTTTATTCTCTATTATTTTTGAATCCAAAATATATATTTCTTCATTCTCAGATTAGTAATAAATAGCTCCTCCAATATCTGCTAAATTATTTTTTAAAATGCAATCCTTTATAATAGTATTAACCCTAATTATTAAAAGTGAACCACCATATTATGCAGTATTATTCATAAATTTACTTTTTTCGATGATCATTTAATATTTCATGTTATCCAAAAGATTTTCATAATTGTGTTATTACAATATTCGATAATTTATTGTAGGATCTTAAATAATAAACTCATTTGTATTTTTAACAATTGAAAGACATCCAGTCCTACCACATTCACTGTTTGTAATTATAATTTATGAAAATTTAATGTTTTATTTATCTTATTGTTAGATATCAAAAATTTTTATCAAACCAAATAAGCATTTAGGACATTAAACATTTTAAATATCCATTTTTTCAATTAATAGCTTATGTCTTATATTAATCAATTCTATTTCAATTAAACCAAAAGTGAAAGATTGATTTTTCAAAATTTTAGCTTGATTACATATTAATTGATTTAAATTTTATTAATTATCAATATTATCTGTAATTTAAGTCTTTATTTAAGTAATTTTGAGAGGACAATTTAAAGAAAAGGGAATTGCTGTATTAATTATTAAGCATAATCTCTCTTCAGTCTTTATAATTTGATAAACTTAAATTATTTAAAGATTGAATATTTATAAATTGGCATCATGTACTATGAATATTACTATATATTTATATATAATTACATTATCTTAAATTTAATTGGATCAGAGGAGAAAATCCTACAGTGCAATTAATAATCTTAATATTTGATAACAAAATTTATTATGCTTGTACAATTTTTACTAAAAATTACATATAAATAGATTAAAAACTACAATTATAAATACTAACGTTTCCAAATTCAACATAAACTAAAGGATTAGATTTAATAATATTGAATACATCATCATCAGTTATATCATCTAAATATGAATAATAATTTTCCAGTCCTTCTTTTGTAGAATAGAAATAAATATTTTTAAAAACAATTTAAGATTTAACAGTTTCTTTTTTTAAAAGAACATATGAAAAAAATTAATTATAAATTGAAAAGCAATCCTTAACAATCAATTAATCAAATTCAATTATATTAGAAACTTCAGATGGAATAATATAAATTGCACCTCCATCATATCTACTAAAAGATGTATCAAATGTAACATTCTTAATCTTAAGAGTTAATTCAGCTGAAACAGCATCAATATAAAAACAACCACCTTTTGAAAAATATAATGAAGATAGAGTGGTTCTAGTATTTGAAAATTCAGAATTAGTAATATTAATAATACTTATACCAGTTGCAATTATATAAAAACCTCCTCCAAATATAGAAAAAGAAGAATCTACTTTGATATTTTGAATTGCTATTAAATTAGAAATTATCATACCATTCCCACTATTAGATTTAATTGGAAATATAAATTTAAAGTTAATAACAGATATATCTTAAGCACTTGATAATATAGTATATCTACTCAATAAAGTGTAATTCATTATGTTGTTGTTTGTAAAATTAGAATCCTTAACATATAACTATTCTGAATCAATATATAATATTGAATCTGTTGAGTTTGTTACCAAATTTTAATTAAATTAACAACCTTATAAAATAACATTTCCATACTTTAAAGATAACAATAATGTAGTAGAAGAAATCTAAGGCAAAGCTTAATAATATTGATTTAAATGGTTATAGGAAAACTTTGTATTAATAAATGTTATAAGACCCTTTTATTTTGATTCTAAAAAAATTAAAGCAGTATTTTTATTCCTTGTTGAGATTATTAATAAATTTGAATTAAACTAAGAATCTTGCACATAAATTGTTTCTTCTACAATTTTCTACATTAAATCATACCCTTTAAAAATAATAAATGGAGTATTGAAACTTAAACAGTTTGAAACATTTAAATTATCAATAATAATATTTTTATATTAACCCACATATAAAAAGAAATATAGTTCCATGATAGCAAATTATGATACACAATCAATATTTGAATGTAAGACATTTGAAAAATATTTTTAATCTTGAGAAAAATTAAAAATTTCTTATTTCTAAACTGTCTGAATTAAGTATGGCCATTTCAGGAAATCCATATCCTCTCTATATATTTATATCTTATAGATTACAAAGTTGGCATTCAATATATATCATTACTTAATCAAAAGATACCTAAGTATTTTATAGTTTTTTGTTAGATATACAATTTTAAATTATCAAATTAGTTATATTAAACATTAACTAATCTATTTCATTATATTTAACAATACTTATGATTTACTATTTGTTATTATAATGAGTATTTAAAACTTATAAATTCTTTACTAGGATATTTTAAGATTAATTTAAGGCTAATTAAGATTTTGAATATTCAACTTTATTATGTATTAAACTACTAGACTCTATAAGTGTTTGGTTTACAATAAAATCTTATAAATTTATCACATTACTTGAATACAATATTGAGTTATTTTAAAGGTGAGAATTTGTTAAACTTAACGATTTAATTTTTGCTGATTCAATAACTGAAATCCAAAAAATGTTTGAATTTTGCAAAATTTTAACATTATGCAAAGATATTTAATGAATTTGTAAAGTTCCTACAGTATAATCAAATAAACCATTACAAATGAAGAAGTTTGAAAAAATAAATGTAGTATCAAAGATACTAATATTTGTTAATCTGGATTAATATTGAAGATGATTAATATTTGCTTAGAATTTGAATAATGTTGAATTTGTAAAAATGCAATTTCTAATTGTCATATTGGATATTTGAATTTAATTTTAAGAAAGATTGTTTAAGGATATAAAAGAAAAAATATCAGATTAATGTAGTTTTATATTGCTAATTAGAAGGTTTGTTATGTATAAGGAATAAGGAATATTTGAATTAATTTTGAAGATTTGATCAGTTTTTAAAGCACTTTCACTTTCTAATTTACAATCTATTAGATTCAAGGTCATTTTATTTTTCAAATTATCAATAAAAATAAAAGAGTTTCTGTTAAAGTAATTTTCATTGTCTTCAAAATAAAAATTTATGTTTTCAAAACTTATTGTTGTAAAGTTACTAATTTTTAATTAAGGGATGATAGATAAGTTTATTGAATTGGTGGATTATAATAATATTCCTTTAAATTTAATATCAATTTATTATATGGAAAAAACATATTAAGCTATTTTAGAGAAAATTTATTTATTTTTTAATCGACATGGTTCATTTTGACCTTAAATCAAATTATATTCGAATTAAATATATCTTACTGAAATTTCATTTAGATAATCAAAAAGTTAAGATGTCTCTAATTAATCAAAATATCCANTTACAAAGTTGGCATTCAATATATATCATTACTTAATCAAAAGATACCTAAGTATTTTATAGTTTTTTGTTAGATATACAATTTTAAATTATCAAATTAGTTATATTAAACATTAACTAATCTATTTCATTATATTTAACAATACTTATGATTTACTATTTGTTATTATAATGAGTATTTAAAACTTATAAATTCTTTACTAGGATATTTTAAGATTAATTTAAGGCTAATTAAGATTTTGAATATTCAACTTTATTATGTATTAAACTACTAGACTCTATAAGTGTTTGGTTTACAATAAAATCTTATAAATTTATCACATTACTTGAATACAATATTGAGTTATTTTAAAGGTGAGAATTTGTTAAACTTAACGATTTAATTTTTGCTGATTCAATAACTGAAATCCAAAAAATGTTTGAATTTTGCAAAATTTTAACATTATGCAAAGATATTTAATGAATTTGTAAAGTTCCTACAGTATAATCAAATAAACCATTACAAATGAAGAAGTTTGAAAAAATAAATGTAGTATCAAAGATACTAATATTTGTTAATCTGGATTAATATTGAAGATGATTAATATTTGCTTAGAATTTGAATAATGTTGAATTTGTAAAAATGCAATTTCTAATTGTCATATTGGATATTTGAATTTAATTTTAAGAAAGATTGTTTAAGGATATAAAAGAAAAAATATCAGATTAATGTAGTTTTATATTGCTAATTAGAAGGTTTGTTATGTATAAGGAATAAGGAATATTTGAATTAATTTTGAAGATTTGATCAGTTTTTAAAGCACTTTCACTTTCTAATTTACAATCTATTAGATTCAAGGTCATTTTATTTTTCAAATTATCAATAAAAATAAAAGAGTTTCTGTTAAAGTAATTTTCATTGTCTTCAAAATAAAAATTTATGTTTTCAAAACTTATTGTTGTAAAGTTACTAATTTTTAATTAAGGGATGATAGATAAGTTTATTGAATTGGTGGATTATAATAATATTCCTTTAAATTTAATATCAATTTATTATATGGAAAAAACATATTAAGCTATTTTAGAGAAAATTTATTTATTTTTTAATCGACATGGTTCATTTTGACCTTAAATCAAATTATATTCGAATTAAATATATCTTACTGAAATTTCATTTAGATAATCAAAAAGTTAAGATGTCTCTAATTAATCAAAATATCCATAACCAAAAAAATCTGTAAGTAAAAAGTTTTTGTTCTCAAAATATTCATCATTTGATTATTCATATTATTCATAATAAGTTGAAAATTCACAATGTAGGTTTTAATGAATAATAATTTTATTATAACATTATTCATATTTGTTACAAACTACTATCGTTTATGTAAATGAATCATAATAATATTTTTCTTCTTAATTGATAGGAATTGATTTTTCATAACATATTCGAGTTTAAAATTTATTTTAATCAGTTAAAATAAAATAAGGGTTAATTTCATATATTTCTAATTAATTTCTATCTATACAAGCTTTACAATTAGAAGGACATTACATACAGCTTCCATTTTCATTTTAACTTTTAATAAAACCACTAATAGTTTCCAAACATTAAATACACGTAGCTTTTCCATCAATAATCTCACATTTATTACAAGTTTAATCACAATCTAATATACATTATTAATCATATAAAATATACCCATACATGATGTACATACTATATTCAAATCTGATTCAGAATACATTTTTGCATTATTTTCAAAGGATTGGTCATTATTATAATTTATAACATATTTATAAAAAGCTTTTATACTCCATTTCCAATAATCTCTATATTTTAAATTTTATTAAATGCAAGTCTTACAAATTGAATCGCATTAAATACATTAACCAGTAAGAAGTGCTGAATAATATCCATCATCACATATTATACAAAGTGATTAATTTTCTGTGTAATTGTGAATACATGAAATACAGTTAGTAATCATTAAGCAATCAGATACTTAAATTGCATTTTAATTTATTTTACTTATAAGACAAATGTTCTTTTACTCTTCATTTTAGATAATAGCAAATTAACAATCATCATCTAATTATTTTAATTCACATTTCTATTTGTTAAAATTGTAATGATGATTTTCTTTACATAGAGCACAACCTACATTTAATTATTAAAAATTATAATCTAACACTTTAAAATTGATATCTAAGCTTGTTTGTAATAGATCACCATTAAGAATGTAATCAAAACAGTATATGCAATTTTCTATATTACATTGACTACAATTCTTTCCATCCATTGATATATAATATTATGAAGGTTATCCTTTACAATAATTACAGAACCTTTATCTATCACACTCTTAACAATATTCTCCACAAGATACACATTTATTATTAATTACTATTGAATTGCCTAAACATGTTACACATTAACATAATCCATCTAAATAACTATAGCAATCTAAGCAATCTTATCATAATATGCATTATTTTTCTTTATTTAAATAATACTTGGGAAAGCAAAATTAACATTAAAATGAATTTTAACAAGTATTACATCCTTATAAACAAGGCTTACATTCTTAATTTTATAAATAGAATCCATTCCTACATTTTTCTCTACTAATACAACCTAAACACAATTAAAGTTCATAAATTCCTTTAATATTTGTTTACATGTTATAAAATAGATAATCATTTTATATTCTTTATTAAATTTAATAAAAGTATTCTGAATTTAAATAATAAGTTTGTGCTTTCATCTTACAAGTTAATGTAGTTTTAAATTATTTTGGTGATATGATGCAATCTAAACAAGTGATTTAAGTACCAGAAAATATTTCATAGTAATAAGGACTTTTATATTAAAAAGATAAATACCATTAAACACACATTTTTTAATATTCAAAATAGCCAAAGTTGCATTCTAGATTATCTTAATTGCAATTGCTATAGCCTTATAGCTAACAATTTAGTTTTACTTCTTAAATCTATATCTAAGGAAATGCTTAAATTACCGATTAACATTTTTAAACATCCTCTTTATCAACAAATTTTTATTAACAAGTACAAGTTTTCTCTTTTTTTGAAAGTTATCTAAAACTTTCATCAGGACAAGTTAAACAATTATTTTTAGTTGGTCCATCACATGTTAAACAAGAATAATGACATGAAGGTTTATAGAGTACAATTTAAGGATTGCATAATTGTTAAAATTTAATATTTCCAATATATCCTCTTAAATAATTTGTTGAATAATCATCACCTCCAAAAAAAACATAATAATTAGTACCAGTGAAATGACGTATTGTTTTACTCCAAGTAAAATAGCGAACTTGATCAATTGATGGAAAAAATATTGAATAAATAGGTTATTCATCATTTTTATTTGTTCCTATTTCATATTAAAAATAATGCCATTTTATTAATAATTCTGAATATTCGTCTCCAAATTAATTAATTTAATCATCTTCATTTGTTTTGTATCTCTATTTTATTGGAAATTAATATGAATAAGTTGATAATTAAAATCCATTCTCAATGGGTATACTACTTTAATAATATTTTAATAATAGATCTCTATCTCCTATTTTAAAATCATCAGTATAATCTTAATTAATAGTTATTCGAAATATTGTAGTTTCCAAAAAAGTTTTATTTGATTATTCTAAAATAATCCATCCTTTTAAAACATATCTTAAGCTTTTAAAACTCAAAGAATTTTTAATATATGAACTTCCATCCATCTTTTAATATTAATTTTTTTCATCAATAGTAAAATATAATTCTAAACATATGGGATAACTAAATAAATCTTAAGAACATGAATCTAAATCTAAGAAAACATTGTTCTACTGACTTGAAAAACAACTTGTAAGAAGTCCCTAGAATTGGCTTAATAATATTAAATTTCTATCCTAATCTTAATATTAGTAAACATTTCCCACATTATGTTTTATTTTTTATACATAATCAGGTAAATCATTTACAACCTAAATTGATAAACTCTCTTTACTATTGTAAAATCCTATTTGAGTTTATCTTAATATATTGTCAAAATAACAATAAAACATTATCCATTGGCCTTCATATAAAAATTTATCAAATTCAAATGATAAAGTGTTTCTTTGAGTTTTAAAAGAATAAAAAACTTTGTGGCTAATTGTTTATTTATTTGAATCAATATCAACAGAAACTACTAACCACTTAAAGTTATTATGACTTTATTCTATAGAATATATAAATTGTCTTCCTTCTATAAGAATTTATTTGTTTAATAGACTGATGTTTTAAGAGACTCTATTGGCTATAATATTATTAAAATATTGTTATACATAGCTATTCTATCTAAGCTAATGGCTAATAATTCATCCAAACTCCAAATCCACTATTCGACTAACCTTAAATAAATTCTTTAGATAAGGCTTAATCAATAGAAAATTAATTATTATCTGTGCTTAAGATAGGCTCAAAGTATAAAAATTAACAATAATTTTGTACATATCTACTATATGCATATTTTTCTTACTTAACTAATATCATCAAAAGGATTGAGTCAAAAAAATTTAAAAACATCAAAGTCTGCTCAATTTTATTTAAAATAAATGATAGTGAATTAATTTAAGAATCAATAGAGATTTCTTCTCAATAGCAAGAAGGTTTAAATTAAAATATATTTCATTATTGAGTGTTTTATTCTGTTTTAATATGTTTGATTAATTTTGATTTACTTGATAATGTAATTTGCTTGATTCTCTTCTATTTACTTTGATAATACAGATCCTTGAATGATAAAGTATATAAATTTATCATCAATCATACGTAGGAATATTAAATCATGAATATACTCCTTATGAAAATTTAATCAAAACTTTAAACTAAGATTAAAATTATTGAACTCTATTACTTTTTTTTGAAGTCATCAAAAATATAAATAATCAACTACTCTTTAGAAAAAAGTTTACATTCGTTTATTAAATAGTAACTTTATTTTATATTTATATTTCTATTCATATAAATATTTAATTATTTATTTGTCTGTGATACAT